ATCTCTTCTTTGTTTAATTAGGTTCGGGCACAGACACAGGACGCAAGCAAAGAAAGGAGTAAAATACAGCAATAAATATGATATCATAACGTGTATTCTAATTTGTCTCACTTAATGGGAAATGACAAGTTGGTATTTGTATTATTGTCTGCCTTTCATTAAATATTCCGGGCCATATATAAATATTTCTTCATTTGATTCCAGGAAAATCATTTCCTTCGTTTCTAAAATTACTTATTGACAATAAAAATTACAACTAGAGGAATCTTAGACCACTTCCTTCAATTTTTTATATTAACATTCAATTAATATAAAGAAAATATTTCACACTGATTCAGGAATTAGAAAATGACATTGATGGAAAAATAAAATAAAAAATGTTTATAAATGTGATAACTTCAACAATTTTATCATCAACTTCTTGTATTCATGAAGTAATATACTTTATCACCTGTATATGAAAAATCTCCCGGGTGATTTGATACGGAAGAACATACTCTATGTACGAACGATTTTTATAATGAGACAATCTTTAATTAAAAAAGTTGAAAAAAGGATATTATTTCTTTTGATTTTCAGTCGTTTATGCATGTTTGCTATTTTATACATGTATCATTTTTACCTGCTAAGACATTAGCAAGACAAAAATTTTAGTTCAATGATTATCATATTTTATCCTTATAGTGTATAACATTAAAAGTATAATTTTGGAAAGGATCGGGTATGAAATGGAACATAGATTAGAATTTCGGATTGTAGTGTTTCCTAGGTATTTTCAGTCTTATGTGTACATGTGTAAATTAAGATTTTGGAAGTAAGATTATGGATATGGCTTCACTGTATACTTTATAAATAGATTGAAAAATTCACATTTAGAAAGTTGAATGTCTATACCAACCATCAGCTCATGCTCTCTATCACAAAACATTTATTTATGAAAGGAAAGGAGACAAAAGTTCTTAGCCGGCAAAGTTTTTGCAAAAAATGGGAGTGGTTTTTAAAATTCTTCTTATTTTTGATTTTTTCCCAGTAGATTCGGAAGAAATGATTTACTTTCTACCAAGGACAGTGGATGCTCCAAACCCAGTTGAATCCGATGTAATTTGTATAACAAGGGAGGAACTGTTTTAAAGGTGACATTTATGACGTAAAAGAAAAGTTAATGATCTTTTTAATAATTTGATTTATTTTTACAACAAAACCTAGATTTATCAATGTCGTCACTGGGGAGAAAACAGTTGTTTCCATTTCTATCAATCAGCTTTTTATTTCAAGTGCATTACCTTCTGTAGAAATTCTTAGAAATCTTCTTATAAAATCTTGTTTATGTTTATGTCCAAATCAATCGACGTCAGTATGAACGACAATAATAATAATAATGTCTTTTGATGGGAACATATTTACCTAATTGAAAATTGAAAATAACAAACAATTATTAAGCCTCAATCTAACATCAAAACAAATTGCGATTAAAGAAAGCACGGAGACCCAGAATCGCATCTTGACCAGTCACGCCTTTATAGCCCCTGTCTTTATCGGGCAAATGGATTACATCTAGTCAGTAAAAAAAAATTCTGAAAATTATGTCCTAAAAATACATATGAAAAAAGACAATCTCCTTTCAACCTAAGGACAGATTGCCATTTTATTTGTATAATATCTTTATATGATCAAAGAATATGCGAAACGTTGACTTTAAAATGATTATGGATACCTCTATTAGGAACCTTTTTAGAAAACCGTCTTAGTTTAGACATTATTTGCATGCAGACCACACATGTGAGTATTGCATCAATTTGGAGAGAACAAATGCAGACATCATTATTTACAATACAGAATTTGCGCATTGCATATTACACAAAGTCTGTAGCACGAAATTCTTGATATTCTTCATATGAAACAAAAGTTGGAAACGTGGGATTAAATGCATAAAAGGTGAATCCTGTTATGCATAAATTATCCCACGTTTCCAACTATCATCAATGTTCCTTGCATACCAACAAACTAGACAGTAATTCCTTACATTTCCATTTCATTGTCAAATAAATTTAAATTTCAGATTTTAAAAATCCATCCAAATAAGTAGCCACAGAGGCATGTACATCTGCATCATTCATAAAATACAACTTATTGTAAATTTTTCAATAATAAGAAAAAGATGAAGGTTTACTTAAAAGTCTTCTCTCCGAACCATTCATAGATGACCTCTGTCGCAGTTGATGGGGAGGAGGTGTTAAGTGTTAAATTTGAAATGGTCCTGTTGAAAGAAATTATGTTAAAAGTTTTACAAAAATGAACATAAACTAGTTCAATGTTTCTTTACAACAAAACAGCATCTTTTCAGCATTTGCGTTTGATAAGCAAGCTTTCTTTTATATTGCAGGTATAAGCCAATATTACCAAGAGGTCAGGATAAACCAGTGGGGGTATCATACTTGTGCAAAAATATAGTTTTGAAAAATAGAAGGCTGTATGATTTTTCACTGAATGGATCATTGCGCAAGAGCATGGTCTACATATGAATAATTTCTAAAGCGAGGTAAATTATTGAGAAAAAAACAAGTTGATTAAACAAGAATATCAGCAGTCTCGTTTTATGTCATTAATTCGTAAGTTCTATGGTCGATACAATGATAAATACAATTTATCATTGAGTCAAATGCTGACTGACGTTTTTCATACTTATTATTAGGTCATTCTTTACACACTGAATTGTCGACGGGTTTTTCTGTTATTTCCCGATCATGACAAAGAGCACTCGACGGGTGTGACGTGACCGGACAGCAGGGGATACTCACTCCTCCATGGCACCTGATCCCACCTCTGATGATGTTGAGTTCTGTTTTTGCTCTGCTCTTATTTTGTATGACTTTATTAACATTTGATCTTGAATACTTTTCGTTATCTCCATTTGTATCATCATGTAAAAGTAAAATAAAGGAAGAATAAAGAATGTTTAAACCATTAAAGTACAAAGAGAGGAATTCAGACATTCTCTTTACAGAAAAATAGTTCAAACATCCATATGCAGTAAAAATTGCAAGAATCGTCAAAATCTCCACCTGATAAGGAGAACAGGACCAAACCCATATACAGTTCTAATAAATTAGATAGCCATATGAAAGGTAAAATTTGGAAAGACAAACCAGTAAAACCATTCTGAATCAGATACCTTATTACAAAGGAAGAATGAATAAGATATCCATATACAATACGTTGTACTTGAATGGAGAATGCTCAAACTTCTTTGTAGAAGAACCAAACATCTTTTCACAGAAACATCTATTATTTTGGAACAATCACCCATACATTTTATTCAATATCAAAGTCAATAAAACAATACAAAACAGGAGCAGAGCAAAGACGGACCTCTGAAACATCAGAGGTGGGATCAGGTGCCATGGAGGAGTGAGCATCCCCTGCTGACCGGTCACACCCGTCGTGTGTTCCTTGTTCTGATCGGGAAATCCGTCGTCAATTCAGTACAAATAAATAATGGACTAACAATTAGTATGAAAAACGTCAGTCAGCATGTGACTCATTGATAAATTGTATTTGTGACAAGGTCATTAGATCAACAATAGAATATACTAAATGATGACTTTAAACGAGACTGCTGATATTCTTGTTTCATCAACTTGCTTGTCAATAATGTATCTCGTTTTAGAAATTGTTCATACGTAGATTGATATGAATATGATATTGGTATGCTTATAACAGAGGATATTGGTATCCATTGGAATAACGACAGATTGTTGGCAGAATTGATCGCAAAAATACTGTGTTAATGTTGTCAATAAGAAATTCGAGCATCTTTTTTATATCTACTTCAGAACGTTTTAACGAAATAATTTTGCAAATGATCAATAAAAAGGTATATAAATTTAAGAGTTTCTTTTTTTTAATTGTAAAAGCAGCTGTCTATGATGCCCAAACCCCTGACATAAATTTTTATGGATAATGATTGTAAAAATGTTGAAAAATTGCATGTTTAAATGTTGTTGTTTTTTTGTTTTTTTTTTAAGTTTTGTTTGTTTAAATTTCAAAGGTTTCTTAGAAGAGAGCTATTGGTATAAGTTGCGTTGCCAATTGCAGAGTTAATTAAATCTTAGTTCCTGTAAAATAAAATTCAAATGATGAGTCTTGCTCGCAAACCACTGGAACTGTACAAAACTGAAGTAAAGCTTACTTCAGAGGCGGTGTCAAGTACCACAGGTGCACTAAAACTTACACTATCTACAACCAAAAAAGATATTGGAGAACAAATTATGTACCAAACTAAAATCCGTGAATATCAATTTATTTAATTTATCTTATAATATTATTATAATAATGATGTTAGTTGTTAGTTGATTGTTACCTAGTGGGGTTATTAAAAGAATACATTTTACAACTTATTTTTTGTGCTTCTATGCACTTTTTAAAAGAACTGGTTTAGGTGTAGAATTTGTCTTCTGTTGGTATTTAGTGCCAATCATAGAATACTAGTATCAAAAAAATATTCTGCCCAATTCCTGATATAAATTCCATAACTGACCACAAAACTTGAATGTCCTGTATTTATCTTTTCCCTGCAGGGCTTATTATCATACAACATAATTTGAAAATGACTAGAAAGCTAAACTGGTGCAGTTTTAAACCAAAGCTTTATTTTACATTAAAAATTGTACGTTTTTGAATATTTTTATTTAGCGACAGGTATACAATTTCCCACAGTTATTAACTAATTTTAACCTTCCTGATCTTTGACATCATATATTATATAAATCACGTGACCAGTGAAGCGTGACGGGGATCTCTTTATAACCGCTAGTTTACGTACGACATCTCACCTTGTTTCGTAATTTGTCATTCTAGTAGAGTCTACATTACGTATCCGCTTCTTGATGAATGAATTGTATAGAGTTTCTCTACACAATAACACAGATTTTGTGTTATTTCGTGACAGCTATATGATTTGATTGATGATTATGACTTTTGATAGGGAAAGTGAAACCACGATGACAAACAAAGAGTTAAAACAGGATCCACAGTCAGCTATTCGGGACATTCCCCAATTTCTCAGTTGTAAAAGTGGTCTTTATACCAATATATAGGATTAAGTATCTGATTTATACAAACTGATTCCACTATTGTTCGTCTCTTTGTATTTCTTCGCCAATATGAGACATAATAACATTTTCGAACACGAAATACAAGTGTCGACTGGTTCTTACAGACTAATTATTTTATTTACTTTATATGTTTCTGTTCAGTCTATTTTTTCGACAGCGGACAAAAATTTACATTCTTCCAGACTAACAGACCCAAAAGAAGAGTCACAAATTCTTCCCCCGGGATGGGATCAGTTTTGTACCCCAGTGAGAAAACGCCCTCATCAGTTTGATGTCGAGTGTTTTGTGAGTACCAAATATTCCGGAAAGTGGAATTTCGAAGAATTGAGGATTCATCTGGCTAAGCAAAATGTTAAATATACTTTTAATGTTGTATGTGAGGATTCTGCCACAATATCCCTGTATTGGCCGATGAAAGCTGTAAACCTGCGCGGGATATCAGTGGAGAATTGCAGACTAGAAGATTATTTCTCAGGATATGGAAAGGAAAATAGTGCTCCGGATCAATTGGAATATTATGTTTTTCGAAGTAACGTTGTAGTGGTTGATTTGACAAAAGTGATGTCTTTGGTCAATAATCCAATTGACGAAGACTATGATTGTGGCAACGAAAAAACCATTCAATATTTCATCAACAGAAATACAACGTATGAGGTTTTGGACGTGGAGCAACCGTCAGAGTTTAATGAACCGCTCGAAACCGTTCAAGCATCTGTTTATAAAATAAACGATGCAAAGAAAGGTGTACAATTAAATTTCTCAGCACTAAAATTGTCTTCCAAGGAGAAAAACCAAATTAGCCATGCTTTCAAAGCCCTCAATAGAAAACTTTCGTCTGTCGAACACAAATGTATTTTTAGAAGCTTAAAATACATAGAAGGCAGAAGCACTGCGCCTATAGCGTCTACCAAAAACTCGTATTTTCCGGAGCTTTCTGTTTACAATGTTTCACATTCAGACCTACAAATGATCCCCGATTCATTCACAAAGTGGTATTACTACCTTCGAAATTTACAAGTAATAGATGCTTCTTACAACAACATCAAAAAGTTCAGATTTGATACCTTAGCTGACGTATGGGATGTGCCTTTGCTGAAAGTGAATCTCTCCTATAATAATATCACCGAAATCAAGGCCAAACAAGTAGAAGAGTTAGTGCAAACCAAAAAGCTCTTCGTAGACTTTCGTAACAACCCCATCAACTGCTCCTGTACTGACACAACAAAACAATTAATAGCGTTGGTTAAAGACGAGAAAAAATGGTCTCATCCGACATACCAAAGATACAAATATGTCCGACACATGCACTGTTACTTCCCAGAGAGATTACGCGGGAAAACCTTGTTAGATCTAGAAAACAAGGACTTGGATTGCGAGTTTATAGTCGTGGAAAAGATGATGGTAGAAAGCATTGCGTGTCTGGGTGCGATTGTACTTATTTTAGTCGTCCTTCTTGTACTTATAGTTGTGTTGACTTGTTGCAGACGTTCGCGTCATAGATCCGCCTGGAACGTAGATTCGGGAGAATCGGGTACGTCAAAGTTTGACAACCCAACCGAAGTTTATAAAATCGTCATTCCAGACGTCTTAAGAAATGCAAATAACAAGTGTCCACCTACTCCATGAAAAGAAATTACAACAAATTTTATGAGAAGCCTCCCAACTTTTTTTTTTATTTTTGAAGAAAAAAAACATCGAACCTTTCAGTTTGGTGCTGTCTTTGTTTAAGTAAGCTACAAGCTGCGTGAAACAAATCTTATCTATGTCGTATTGTGTTCTATTTAGCAGATTTACTTTTTGTAAATTACAGCTAACTGTGTTTCAATTTGTGTGTTTTCTGTGTCATATTGTGTCTATTTATTCAGATCACGAAATCCACGTAGAACCGAGACTTTCCATTACACCATTAACTGATATCGTATGAATCTGCATGTGTTTATCATGCTTCCCTTTTCACTGTGATAGATATTTTTATTATTTTTTTTTATTGAATTGTAAATAAACAAACACTTTCACCATATTTGTCTTTGAAATACTTTTTGTTGTTAGACAGGTTAAAACTTTATTTCTCCATATCATTTCAATGGGGTTTTTAAAAACTAATTCAAATTTATATTTTGTTTCTTAATAATTAAATTTAAACTTCTCAATGTTTGTCGGAAACGAAATGCGTATCATTTTCATTGTTTTTATCTAAATATAGTAATCTATTAATATAATAAAGATAAAAGGGTTAATTAAGACAAAGAAGTATTGATTAGAGAGCATTAATTGTTTAATTAATATGTCACTTTGTGGTAGCCTTCCGAGAAGGTCTCTACAAATAATAATCTTTATTTAACATAATAATTAAAAATTTGGGGGAATTTCCCGCATTTTCTCATATCGTAGAATAGGGTCAAAAAAGGTGGCAAAATGGGAATGTCAAATCATACAGTGTAATTAGTTTAATTAATGTTAAATTAATTATCCGAGGCCTCTTTGCCTGCTAGGAATTTTTATGACAATTTTTTTTAAATAAAAAGAAAACATTTTTTATAATTAATTTAAAAAAAAAACATTCAAATAGTCATTAGAAGTTAACATGCTTCAGATTGTTACAAAATTTATAAATTAGGCCTATCTGTATACGTGTATACATATTCTAGACTGTTCTTTTTATGCTTTATTTATGTTGTATTTTGTAAATTTACTATGTAAAATTAACTTTTATTTTATAAAACATAAATAAAACATATTTTAGACTGTTCTGGATACCCAGCTTACAAGCTCAAATTACATATTAAAAAATTAATAATTTACAAAATATTTGATATTTTAAAAAATCCATTAAAACAATTAGATCAAGTGGATTGAATATTTAGATAAAGTAATCTAATAATAATGTAAATATGAGAAACATATTTTAAAAAACTGAACCTTTATCTGCCACGTGTCACCAAGAATTGCTAGTATTGTGAAAAAAATACAACTAATCGCCACACAGCTCACACTTCAATTAGGACAATTTGTATCTTTTATGGTTTAGCTAGCAGATCTGTACTTAGAACGAATTCACATTATCTTGAGAAATATATTTTATGAATATTATTTGTATAAAATATGAAGGCAACGTGACTCTGGAGTTCCTAACTGACACCATTTATCTTGTCTTCTGAGCCCAAGTTTTCCAACAAAACCTTGGAATTCTAATAAGGAAAAATATTAAATGTGCAAACCTTTTTTTTATATTCCTATGAAACAGAATTTATTTAAAAACTTCTTGGTGAGAATATGATACCTTGTGGCCTTCAATTCGACTAATTCAGATATATCAACGATGTTTTGTCAATTAACAATGGTTATTTTCATTCATTTTTCGACTCGATATATCGCAGTGAACCTGAAATAAAAGACACCATAGAGCTTCTACATGTGTTTCCTGTTTGGATGTTTCACTGACTATAAACAATAAAGGCCACTTAACAATCGAATTGTATGACCAACGAGATAACAACTTCAGATTTCTTATGTCAGTTTTCATTATTCTATGTCATGTTCCATGGCATCTGATCCCACCTCTGATGTTTTGGAGGTCCGAGTTTGCTCTGCTCCTATTTTGTATCGTATAATGGACTGTTGAGCTTGAATACTGTTCATTATCTCGATATTTTTCATGCAGTAATACTATCACCTGCTTATGGTGTTTATGTCTTACATCGTATTCGCTTCTCAAGAGCTGCCCTGAGTATGATCAATTTTTAAATCGAGGCAAGCTACTCACTGAGAAGTTGATGTTACAGGGATTTCAAAATCTTGCTTAAGGTCAACATTTCGGAAATTCCGCGTTCATTATAACATTCTCGTAAGCAATGATCACCTATCATTGGGTAGTATTTTGGCTGACTTTATTTATATTTAATGATAGGCCTTTGTTTTTATACTAGATTTGACTATATGCAAGGTACCCTTCTTTAATTAGTAAGGTTCAGGGCGGGAGATCGATCAACAGGGGATGCTCACTCCTCCTAGGTATCTGATCCCACCTCTGGAATTTCCAGGGATCCGTGTTTTATGCCCTTATCAGATATAGAATTGTATTGTTGATAGATTTTTGTAAGATCAGTCACTGTTTATATTCACGTTTTAAATAATTTGACTATACAGAGATTGATAATCTTAACATCAGTTACATCCAGTTTATTTTTTAAAAAACAATTTACAACACAAACAAGTTGAATATAAATTCATTGAATTGAATTAGAGCATCAGTTTGGCACGGTCCTTGGTTACATGCTGACGGGATGATATACTTATGTATATCTTGATATATAATAAATATATCCGTACCAACAAAATCACATTGTTACGTGCAGAAATCGTTGAATAGTTAGTTGATTCTCAATACTTCAGTTGCAATCAATCAAAGGTCATGTACAAAAGTCTTGAAACCTGAATACGACTGGTGAATAACAAAATCAAATAGTCGTAAACGAAATGTCGTACCTATCTCTTTCTATTAAATATGGAGTGCGAATATCAAAAAAATCTAAACGGAAGAAATCTAAAGGAACTGAATTCAGAAAACCTACATTGTTTTGACCGCCCTGACATTCTTAACCTCGAACCAGTGATTTGCCTATCGCTTTTGTTTTGATTCTCATTATGGTTTTTATTCTTTATTTAAAAAAAATAAGAGGAAGAAGTACAAATTCTTATCAGATTTTTTAATATCTTTCCGTCTTGAGATTGACTAGCGTTGAAGAGGAGGAGGTTTGCTTGACCTTTAGCAATAAGGACATTGACGAGGTCAGTAGTGTGTTCGAAAGGACAAACAGTAACGTACCACAGCAGTTTACTTTTGTTTTCTCCAGGAGGAACTGTTCATCATATTATAATTAATAGTATTCAATTCAGTAGACATACCATTATAATTCTGTCTAACAACTTCCCGAAGAATGCCTATTGTGTGTACGAGTTTCAGGAAGCTTACATAGTCTAACGGGGAGCCCCAGCTGATTCGAATAGAAAGAACAAAACATACTCTACGTACAAAACAATTCTAAAATTAGGCATGCTAAAGATTAAAAAAAAAAGAGGAATCAAACATATCAACAATCTTGTTTAAATGAAGCTTTGTAGAATACATGTATTTAATGGAACCCACTAAGTATCTTTGTTTGTAAGGATTTTTATGTATTCTAGGAATCCAGAACCGGGATATAGATATGGTAATTCAAATTCATTTTGATTGTTGGGAATATCAAAACTATTTAAAACTAATATAACATAAAAAAGAGCTTTGTTTTTAAGTTGTATAACCACCTGCATAATTAATTCCCAATTTCTCAATATATACAGTTAAATATATTCAGCCTTACAAAGACAATGTTGTTTCTTGTTTTTACAGCTGGAACCAGTACATATTGATATTTTAATCTATTTCAGTTTTTTTCACTTCTGGGAATGACTTAAACTTTTTTTCATTGCCATCTTCACACACTATCATACAAATAAATTTTCTTAAGGTGTTTAGAGGGCAAATCGGCATAGAAAGATAATTTAATATTGATCTTTCTTTTTTTAAAAAAATTACAAGCTAAGGGAATTATTTCGTTAATTTCTGCCGGTCACTTACTCTCCGCTATTATTAGGAGACCTATTATTGTATTCATAAGTAACAGGATTTGCTCAAAATCTTGTATATGAAAAGGAGAAAACACTTGCTGTGACCTTCAACTCGACATTTTGATATATCGACAACGTATTGTCAATTAACAATAGTTATTCCCATCCTTATGTATTGTAAAAACAGTTCTAGGAAATGATCAGCAATTACTATTTCATAATACATCCAAAATGTTCATTATCTTTGAATGTAAATTTTTTTTTCTATTGGAATGAAATTAAAATGATTAAGGTTTGATTCAAAAGAATAACTTTCTGTCAAGTCTATTTTAAAGATATTAGCAATCACATATTTTATAGCTTAAACAGAAATACTTTTTAAACATATTTACAATGCAGAACAATGGAGTATAAAATTAAACTTAAAAGTGCAGTAAAATTAATGGAAATTCTTACTTCTTCGTCAACCCCTTTAAACATACTAGTACATTTTTACATGAAATATTCACTGAAAATTACAGTTTTCTTTTTAAGGTTCTGAAAATCTAAATTTTCCAGTTGAATTCTCACTATTTCACTTAAAGGCATGTTCACCGGACTATAGCCTTTTATTTGTAACTTCGTTTCAAAACTGATGATTTAACCCTAGCTTCTTGCGTTACTGAACATTTTATCTTCGCCAAATTTTGTTTTGCCACCAGTGTTTCGGATTTTTAGTCCTGTTTTCATTCGAGCTTTGAGTAATTTCTAAAGAATTGATCCATTTAATAATGCAAATAAATTTTGTGAAGAATTTTTTTTTGTTCTCATTAATAATGAATTATACTGTATTAATAAATGAAAAAATAAAGAGATCTAAAATATGCAATATGTGTTGTTTTCTATTTAAGTAAATTAGATAAATTGAACTTGTAAGCGAAAGAAAATTATGCAAACATTTTACATTAAGAACAATCTACATGACAAACTCTTTAAAATTTCAATCACTTTTTTTAACAGTGATTAAATTAATGTCTGCAGTGCTGATCTTATTTCCTTATAAAAAATACAAAGTACGTGTATATATTTCAACGATATTTCCGTATTGGTCAACATGTCACATAATTCCATATAATGGTCAACTTGTCAATTATTCCCGTATTGGTTCACATGACAAACATTTCTTTCCGTATTTTGGGCACATACGTTTTAGATATTGAACATGTCTGAACAAACTGTATGCTTAATACTTAACAATCGACTGTATTGTATTTCATTAAATGACATTTGCTTTGTAAATCTCTCTCTCTCTCTCTCTCTTTCTCTCTCTCTCTCTCTCTCTCTCTCTCGTCCATGCAATTTAAATGACCAAAATACTTTTTCAAAACAATCGTTGAAATCAATAATTTTAATAGTTTCGTATTAGACCTTTATTGATTTATGTATTTATTTACATTTATTCGTACTGAGTTGGTCACTGGACATTACATAATGGATAAAGCCGATTTTCTGCTTCGTAGCTTATGGTCAACAAAAAGATGGTTAACCGTTAGACACAGCTAAAAAAGGAGGTTCTATCTGGTTGCAGTGATCTGCAAATGGCGTTTGGGATCTAAAACATGTATGTATATTTCTATTCTTAAATTTATTAATGACAATGTACATGGGACCCTGATCATTGACTTTAGCTTAATTAATATTTAATGTAATATTAAAAATGATTAAATGATGATTATCATTTTCTGATAAGTATAGTTAGTGAAGGATACTTCATTTATACGTCCTGCATGTTCTAACAAATCGCTGTGCTGTGAGATAAAGTCAGAAGAATCTATCAATAGATTGACAATCAAGTGAGCCCTGTGTATAACATTATTAACTTAACATAAAAATCTTTGTACATTTTACAAGTTGTTATTACAAGTTCTGTAAAATATCTTTGTAAGTTTTCTTATTAAATGCTTTAGAGCTATTAAAATCTTCTCTTCACTACTTACAAAAATATTATACATGTTTGAATATTTCAGAGCCAAAGTTTTGGCATATACAGCTTGTTTTAGTGAACTTCATAAAAATCTTTTAAAAAACTAGATATATTACCGGGAACTCTGCAAATGCTCTATAGCTACCAAACTCTTGTCTTTACTCCTTACAAAAATATTAACTGCTATAAAGGAGAAACATCAGACATATACTGTGCTACAGCTTATTCTAAAGGGGTGTAAATTAGATGTAGATTCTCAAAAACTGCAAAAAAGATTAGAAATTTTTAACAAATTTTCAAAAGCCAGTAACATTTTTAAAAGTTAGTTACATCAAAATGAATGACCCTTTACACAACCAGTTGCAATTTGTAAACAATTCCTATCCAGTTGACGATTAACAGGTTACACGGTCGGGAAAATAATACTAAGCGGTTACAAAATTGTAATTCATAATAAACATCCAAATGATATACCGTCAGGTGTGTATCCTCTAATTTTCCCTATCCGAAGGACCTGTCTCCCGTAGTGGGATTCAAAACCCCGATGCAAAATCAACCCTTAATCCGAGATCCTGGAGCAAACGCTCTAACCATTAGCCATAAAGGTTTTAGAAACCAATATAGGTTAGGCAAATCAAAGTCACTTACAGTACGTTTTGAATTTCTCAATATATAACAGTTAAAAAAAATGTGAGTAGTAAAGATAAGGGCTTAATAGCGCATATGCTGAACCTGACAACATATCATTGTAATGATTTATATAAAGTTTATGTGTTTGTTAAATTGTTAAACATCCCTTCGAAAAGTATTCACTCCAACTGAGACGCCACCACTTGAGGGCTGCAAATTAAGACCTGTATTCAACCTGTATTCAGCACTTACGGCCTTTAAGCAATCAGGGATCATTTTTGTGACAGCACCTACTGCGGCAGGGGAACTTTGTTTTTACGATTAATGCAAAAGACCTTACCGGTCTCCGCGTCCCACAGAGGGATTCAACACCCCGATACAAGAATCAACTCCTTACTCCGCGCACCTAAAGCAAACGCTCTAACCACTCTTTACCAGGGCGACTCTTTGAAGTTTAAGAAGGCAATATAGGTTGGGCGGATCAAATTCACTTTTTGACTGTGATGTTCAAAGTTAAAAGTAAACTAAAACACAAGAGTATACCTTTGAAACAGTTTTAAATCTGAGTGACCCGATTATATTCTTTTTTTTTTTTGCATAAAACACAGCACATGCTTTAACTGGACGTCAATTTATAGTGGTTCTCTCGTCTTCGAGAGTAAATCCTGTTTCAGAGGTTTAACTTTCAATGGACTTTACGATGTTGACTTTCCATGGCACCTGATGATCCTAACTCTATTATTTTTAAAAGACCATGTTTTCTTTGCTGAAAATTTGTGTTGTTTCAATGAAACTTTGAGTATTCTTCTAACATGAAACATATGAAGAAAACGAACAGTATTCAAGATCAAAAGTCCATAAAACAATACAAAATGTTTGTTGTCATGTGCCATAGGAGTGAATTGAATTGTAACTGCAAAATCAATCCATACACTTCTAACATCATCATTGTAATGACAGGAACAACTGCAGTACTGAGTTGATTCAGGAACATTGGCACAACGGCAGCCCATTAATAACTGTCGAAGAAAATTAAATCAAATTTTTTTCTAGAGTTTGGTTGTTAAATTACCATTAACGTGTTTTTCAAGTAAAATATCCAAAAATATGAAACAGATGTATCAAACTCGGTGTTGCCGGGATATATTTCGAAATAATCATTGTAGCACGATATATCTAAATGTGGAATTGAAGGCCACGGCAAGTGTTTTCTTTTCATGCATAAAACATTTGCTTTCAATAGGTCTGAAATATTTTCAATAGATTGTTGGAAGACCTGGTCTCCAAAACAACATAGATATTGTCAATTAGAAACTCAAGAATCTTTTTGATGTCAATTTCAGAGTACTTGTGTGTACATTCAGAATGTTTTAACTTCCAAATTATTCTGAAAAGAGCTGTCGATTATAAAAACCTTTTACGTTTTTATGATACTTTAATTGATTTCAAAGTCCAAAATGTCGTATCCACATCTGATTTACACAACTTCTTGAATATATTGTTGCACAATACATAGCCCTAGCCATTGTGATAGGACTAGGAGTGGGCGTGCTGTTCTTTCGGCCTACATATGATTTTACTTTGGAGGAAGCACTTGTAGAATTTAACACCTTACAAAAGATCTACATCATGCCAAAAGTGGATAAAAATCCATTCTAATAAAAGATTTGCTGTAATTTGAATATTTTCAATAATTTTTCAAACGGAGTAAGTGTCATATTGTTCTTTAAATTAATCTGACATTATAACAACTTTAATTAAGGAGCCTTGGCCATTGCAAATGGCGGAAGCAGAGAGTGAAAATCCATCATGCAAAAAGTGGATAAAAGTCCAAGGCTCAGTAAACAATCAAACTTCCGAAAGGCTCAACAACCATATTCCCATGGGTATTTAAGCCCAAAACAGATTCCAACTGTATTGTGACTATTCCAGAAAAATACACATCGAATGGAGAAGAACCTTTTAAAATACCAGACGAAAGTGAACTGGTGTCTCTTCCAGACAACATCGTACAATGTTTGTATCACCGCTATGTTACCACCCTGCAGTATTTCTGTGGTTATAAGCAACGATTTGGTCAAATTGCCAGAAACGGATGGTACGTTTGTTCTGATCCCGCCTTTGCTCCTAAAAATAATTGTGTTGTTTTTTCCTCCAATAGAAAGTTTTCGGACAATTTTTTCTTGTCTGAGATAAAAGCACGGTATCGTTGTCGAACTTTTACCACATCGCTTTCCCAATCCAATTCTCTCCAAAGTTGGATAACAAAGACGAACACATCTAATGATATCATTGATATACTTACCCTTACAATAAGTTCTTACTCTGAACTGGAGATAATCGATAAAATGGTGAAGGAACGGTCCATTGGAAGGGTGAGGCAGCTGCTACTGGAACTCCATTTCGATCCTGCAGTGACGAAAAAGTCAGATTATGTGAAACTTCTAAAACGTTTAAAAATGCTTTTCAAAGCAGGTCTGCGTATTATTTGGTACGACAGACTCTTTCAGTGCGCGGCCACCAACAAATATAATAGATGTTACGTTGTCTATTTCGTTCAGAAATCGTTAGCAGATACATCGAAAAAGTTTACAGAAATGAGCTTACCTTCAGAGGACAAGATTCGGCGAATGAACGGGTCGGACATTTCAGATTTGTACTTCAAGTACGTAACGACCACCCAGTTCTTCTGTAAACAGATCGTCCGGATCGGGAGGGTGGTCGACGGGGGGTGGAATGTGTGTCACGACATGATCCTCAAAACTGACCTCGACCGATGCATCGTCTACTCGTTTGGTATAAACCACGACTTCTCCTTCGACGATGACATGGTCCGAACATACAACTGCAATGTGTACTCATTCGACCCGACGATGAATAGGGAAAATCATAAACATGCCAAAAAAGTTTGGTTTTATAACAGGGGTATAGGGGGCGAATACAGTAAGTATGGGACTGGGGATATTGCGCCCCTGAACAAAATAAGGAAAGATTTGAACCACGAGAAGGTCCCCATAACTGTCCTGAAAGCTGACACGGAGGGAGCAGAATGGCCGTCCACACCTCAGATGTTACAAACTAACCAACTGTCGGACGTATCTCAGTTTTACTTGGAACTTCATTCATACGGAATGGTAGCAGCTCATTTAATACTTCTTAAACAATTGCATGAGGCTGGATTCCGTTTATTCTGGTTTCATACAAATCCAGCATGTGTAATAAGATACAAGAAAAGGCAAATCACGGGATGTATGGAAGTTTATTTCATTAACACACGATATCCATTTAAGATTTAAATATTTGTATTGTTCTACAGTGTAAGCAACACAATGGGAGGATGTGAATTTAGTGGAGGGTTACCTTTTAAACAATCCATTCTTTGCCTCGGTAAATAGATCCAGTCTCAGGGGTTTTCTTTCCTTTGAAAATCAAAGTATGTTCAAAATCACGTGTATGTTCAAAACAAATGTTTGAGGAACAAATATCAGAAAGTGAGTTCATAAGTTAAAAAGTGAAAATCATTACTGTGGTTAGACCTAATACATACTAGTATTATATATATATCATCTTTTAAAAAGTGATGATTATCTATTTAATTTGAATGACTGACATCATTTATTCGAAAAAGTGATATCACTAAATGGCAATAAATATCAAAACGGCGCCTGATACACATTTTAGTCGCGCGAAAGACTCTAAAATATAATGTATGAAACATATCGAGATATCGAACAGTATTCAAGCTCAAAAGTCCATAAAACAATACAAATTAGGAGCAGAGCAAACACGGACCTCCAAAACATCGGAGGTGCATGGGATCAACTGCCATGGAGGAATGAGCATCCCCTGCCGACCGGTCACACTCGCAGTTTGTTCCTTGTCATGATCGGAAAATAACGGGAAAATCCGTCGTCAATTCGGTGTGTAAATAATAGACTAACAATTAGTATATATGAAAAACGTCAGTCAGCATTTTACTCAGTGATAAATAGTATTTGCTATAATGTCATTGTATCGGCCATAGAACTCACGAAATGATGACTTTAAACGAGACTGCTGATATTCTTGTTTCATCAACTTCTTTGTCAATAATTTATCCAGTTTTAGAAATTATACATACGTAAAGCATGCTCTTGCGTATTGAATCAACTGAGAGATAGAAACTCCTTATGCAGGTAATGCAGGTATATTGCTGCATAAGAAAGGGAAGTTGACGATTAGAAAGTTAAAGTCATCACGTCTATCGTAGAGATTGGTTGTTACAATTAACGTCTTTTTCAAGTAAAATATCCAAATATGAAACAGATGCGTTATCTCAAGTTCACCGGGATATATTGTATCGACATAAGAATGGAAATAACTACTGTTAATTAACAATACGTCGTCGATATATCTAAATGTTGAGTTGAAGCCATGATAAGTGATTTCGTCTTTTCACGTATAATATTTTGGACAAATTTTATTTCATATGAATACAACAATAGGCCTGGTAATAACGGGGCGCAATTGGGACCCGTGGGTATTCCAATAGACTGTTGGAAGACCTGGTCTCCAAAAAGCACATATATGAATGCCAATCAGAAAGTCAAGCATTTTTTATGTTAACTTCAAAATACTTGTGTGTGTGCAATCAGAATGTGTTTTAACAAAATAATTTTGCAAATGAACAATGACAAGCTGAGTAAATTTACGAGTTCCATTTTTAAATTTTCAAAAAGTTTTTTTGATTTTTTTAGTATCCGCATCTGATTTGCACCACTTCTCGAAGATTTTGTTACTATTGAAGTTTCTCCTTTACTAATGTTAACTATGGCACGCCAAATTCACAAAAATGAGCTAAACATACCGGTAGTTTCACAGTTGATAAACTAGGTTTATCGACTGCAAACTATAGTTTACAAACCATGAACTATAGTTAACAATTAGCTAACTATAGTTTTCAGCTGTAAAACTATATTTAACGGTTGTTAACAATAGTTTACGAATGCTAATCTAAGTTTATCTATCTGTAATAATATGTTAACAATAGATTTTGTTGATAAACATAGATTCACATCTGTAAACTATAATTTACAATCGTGAACTATAGTTAAGAGTTGTTAATCATAGTTTTACAAATCGTGAAACTATATTTATCAGATCGTTAACTATAGTTAAGAGTTGTAAACCATAGTTTACAAATCGTGAAACTAATTTATAAGATAATCTGTGTTTTGCAATCGCAAATAATTGTTTTCAGTGTTAAGTATAGTTTACGTTTCCGAAACATAGATTATCGCTTTAACTATGGTTTACAGATGTAAAATATAGATTAACGTTGTTATCAATAGTTTACAGTCCGTAAACTATAGTTTACAACTGATAAACCTAGTTTATCGACTGTGAAAGTATGTTTAGCTCATTTTTGTGAATTTGGCGTGCCATAGTTAACACCTTAGGAAGGAGTAAAGAAAGAGACTAGGTTGAATATTTACTGGAACCCGCTATGTATCTTTGTAAGGATTTTTATGAAGTTTCGGAATCCAATATAGATAGGGTAATTCAAATTCATTTTGGTTGTTTGGGATTTTTAAAATATTCATAACATGATTTTGAAGAATTTTTGATTTCCTTATATATTCACAGAAAACTAAGCACATCGACCAAGCACAAAGTGCAAGGTTGATATTCTTTTCTTTCAAAACGATATGTCGGTAAATTGCTCGAAACAAAGGTCTACATTTGCTGTATAACTTTCTAAATTTTGTATTTCTAGCTCACCTGAGCTCAAGTGAGGTTTTCTCATCAAAATTTGTCCGTTATCTGTTGTCGTTGTTGGCGTGTTGTAAACTTTTCACAAATTCCTCTTTTTCTCCAGAAATACTAGGCCAATTTCAATCAAACTTTACACAGAGTATCCTTGGGTGAAGGAGATACAAATTTGTTCAAAAGAAGGGCCACACTCTTTTCAAAAGGGGGGGGGTCACAAAATAGCACAAAATTAATGGCATCATTGAAAAATCTTATCAAGAACCAATAGGTCAGAAAAGATGAAACTCATGTGGAATCATTGTCAGGTAGTGTATATTCAAGTTTGTTCAAGTCATGACCCCCCGGGGGTAAGGTGTGACCACACTGGACTATGAAAATTTTAAATGGGAGTATATATATAAAAAATCTTCAAAAATATTCATCTCAAGAAAAGCAAAGCTATGATTGTCTATGTTTAAGTGAAAGCAGCTTCAAGTGATGTAGATGCAAATTTGTTCAAATCATGACTCCGGGGGTAGGGTGGGGTTATAATGGAAGGTCAAAGATTTACATAGCAGTATATAGGAATTAAATATCTTCTCATAAGATCAAGCAAAGCTATTATTGGTCATAAGTATGTGAAAGCTTCCACAGGTGGTGAAAATTCAAATTTGTTCAAATCATGATCTCCGGGGTAAGATGGGGCCACAGTGGACAATCAAAGTTTAACATAGGAGTATAGGAAAAATCTTCCTTTCAAGAACAGCAAAGCTATGATTGGTCATATTTATATGGAAGCATCCTCAGGTGGTGTAGATTCAAGTCTGTTCAAATCATGACCTCTGAGGGTAGAATGTGGCCACAATGGACAATCTAAGTTTTACATAGAAATATATAGGAAAAATCCTCTTCTCGAGAACAGAAAAACCCTTGAATCTTATATACATACATGGAAGCATCCTCAGATAGTGTAGATTCAAATTTGTTCAAATCATGACCCCCAAGGGTAGGGTGGGCCATAATGAAAGTTTCAATTTGTAGGCAAAAAGTCACAGTTAGTTAAAAATCACTGTCTAGTTAGTGTAGTATGCCAGGGCATCAATGATAGTGGGAAACATGGGATAATTTGCATAACGGGCGAAGCCCGTTATGCATAATTAAATTACCCATGTTTCCCACTATTGTTGATGTCCCTGGCATACTATACTAACTAGACAGTGATTCCTTATATTTCCATTTTATTGTGAAATAAAATTGTTGGTTTAGATTTTAAAAATGTTGACATAAAATAATTACACGAGGACTCCCATGCCAATTTCAATAGTCTTCGCCCACTGACGTCAAACACAAGGCAGCCGCACGAGATTTACATGCATATTTGGCCTCCTTAGTGTCAGACACAGAGACAGATGCGCACGAGATTTGCATGCATATTAGGCCTCCTTAGCTCCTGACCTATCGACCTGTCTAATTTACATTCCGGCAGAATTATCAAGAAATAAACTTCCCTAACTTTCAAAGAGTTATCACAGAGAAAAATTAGAACTGGAAATATTATCGTATAACAAAAGTTGAAATAAGCTTCATTCCTTAATTAACAGAAATTTCTATTTTAGCAAACATTGAAACACCATACCAACAATCAAAAAAAAAAAGATAATAGAATTATTTATTTGACGTTGAAATCTTATATCCAATATAAAATAATATGCAAACCAGATCAAATCTGCAAAAGGAGTAGGTCTTTGAAAGTATTTTACATACACACAAATAATTTTTATTTTAGTACCCATGAACAATGTACCTTAGTACAGTCTACATATGTGTCAAGTTATATATTGAAAGCAGACTCAAATTGAAAGAGCGGTAGCATTATAAAAGTATTTCACAGATATTTCTAATTTTGATTTAATAACCATGGCAACATTGCTTTGTAAAATCAAATTCCCATGCTAAGAATTATGTATATTGAAGTGTAGTCTATTTGAGTACCAAATAATATTGAAATCAAACCAAAACTGGAGTAGGGGTAGCGTTTCAAATGATTATCACAGTAAATTTTATTTTTAGTAACCATGGCAACATTAAAATTTAAAATTGACAACATTAAAAACTGATGCACTAAGTTATGAACCTAAGTGTACTTGTGTAAAAGAAAAAAATCAGGTCAAAACTGTACAATAAGTGGCGTGTTAAAGGAATTTTAGGGGATTTTCTACTTTTAGTAACCATGGCAACGGCGTTCATCAAAACACAAATTATAGGAGCCTTAAATTTATCCTTAGTGTAGTTTAGGAATGATGTGTGTTGCCTAAGTCAGACCAAAAATGTAGGAGGAGAACCGTTACGAAAAACTGTAACAGACAGCTAGGACGACGCTACTCTGTCTCTGACCCTGTAAAACGGGGTCGGGAACCAGCCAGACTTAAAAAAAAAAAAAGATGACCTACTAACCCCGGCTGGTAAGAATTGTAAACAAACATGGCGCTGTCCAGCAAGCAGATGGAGCAGGTATTTTGCATGTAATTTTAAAAACAGTTGATACGTGCAAAGTCAGATTATTAATTTGTTTAAAATTTATCTTTAAGTAGCTTTATGATTTGGGTAGGCTTAACGTTAGTTGATGGCTCGTTATTACTCAAGTCGTCAACTCACCATGCGCATGCACACGAGATTTGCATGTACGTCGTCGCTGAGAGGATACACTTAAAAAAATGAACAAAGAATAAATCTCAGCTGGGCAAAGAGATTTTCCTTCCCTTCTGTGCTGCACAGTTTTTTAAAAGTGTTTTACTATAAAACACTGATAAATAACTCCCCCTATATCAGTGTATATAGCCTTGAACCTGAAAAACCATCTTGACAAAGACTTTTAACTGCCAGAAGTTTCTGTGTTTACAATTTTCGATTTCATTAGCTACATGTATACAAAATTAACACAATCGACATCTTGCAGCCTCTCAACTGTAATTTTTGTGTAATGTCACTTATAGTTAACAAATGGGCATACAGCATACTAGTATGACCTAGCTGCAAGTCTGTAACTCACTGGTCTATTAAAAAAAAAAAATTGGGATTGTTAGTTTTGCCTTAGTTTTAAATTTTTGTAGTTTGAGAGAGATGGTTACTTGTTGGTGGAGGATTTCATAACTCCAGAGGAATGTGACAGTCTGCTGACTGCCTGCCACAATGTTGTGGACGGTATGAAGCCAGAGGAACATAACACCGTATTCACCACTCTGGAGATGAAACGGGTAATGATATACACGAATTTATAACATAACACAGTATTCACCACTCTCGAGATGAAACAGGTAATGTTATACACAAATTCTGTACTAGCTCTGTAACATAACACCATATTCACCACTGTATAGATGAGACGGGTAATGTTATGCACGAATTCTGTAGATCTGTAACATAACACTGAACTCACAACACTAGAGATGAAACGGGTAATGATTCTAGGAGTGAAACGGTTCACCGCTGTATCCATTCATCGCGGTGTTTTTCTCTCGGATTGATACATAGTACAAAATCTCTATTTTGGTTCGGTTCTTTTTTCAGTCGGGATCTTCATTCAGTTGGATTTGGCATAAGGAATAAACATGTTCCTCCGTAGAAATTAGTACAAAACAAGTTAATTTTTGTGGGCTGATAGTTTGTAAAATAACTTTCGCGCTTGTCACAAGTGGCCGAATTTAAAATGAAGTGAATTCAAAGAACACAGTATAAATTCTTAAAGAGAACTGGGACTGGCCGAATTTAAAACGGGGCAAATTTGTAAGCAAGTTTAAAAGGGTGAAAATAACACTGGGCAAAAATAACCCTGTATACAGTAAGTACATATTTACTCTGTTAAAGTTCCAATTGTTAAATGTATAACTTTTTTAGGCATAAAAAAGTTAATATGTTGCATGTAAAACAAAGAGTTGATTCAGTTTGTTGTACTATCATGTGTATTTTGAATTATTTGTTAATTGTACTTAATTAATACTTCATTGTAATTGTAGACCTCTGATGATTATTTTATGACCAGTGGAGACAAAATCAGGTTCTTCTTTGAGGATGGAGCTAAGGACAAAGATGGTACGACTTAAAGTCATTTTCTTGAATCATCAGCTGAAAATCTTGATCGACCGACACTAGTATGGGGCAACATTGAGAAGTCACATCAATTGATTCCTTTAAAAGATAAAATACTTATAAGTTGGACAATTGTCACCCAGTCATTTTTTGCTGGGCCATAGTTTGAATTCCCAACTTTAATTAACATCAACCGTGCATTTACAAAACCTGGAGTCAGTTAGAATTGAATTATATTGTATGACTAAGGAAAGGTCTCCCAGTCCTTACAGTTCTGAGTTTAACACATTTCATTTGGTCTTATTTTATTATTTTAGGTAATCTGCTTGTGGATAAACACAAATCATTGAATAAAATAGGACATGGTAAGTACAAAATATTGACGTGCGAATTCTCTCATTTCTTCAGTCCCAGTGATAATATCAGATTATATTTTATCATACTCTCTTTTTTTCATTCTTTTCTAATTGCTTTCTTCAATACAGCTCTCCACATTCTCCATCCAGCTTTCCGTAAAATCACCTTTGACAACAGGGTCAAGGTAAGGTATACAAAATCAAAGTACTGAGAGGTACAGAGAGCTGGACTCATTACAGAGTAGTGAACAAAGATTTATACATGAAACATATACATAATGGATAAATAACATGAAGTTGAGAAACTGAAAGAATACTGTAAACCAACTATTATTTTTGTCATCTTTTAATAGGTTTTCATTTAAAATCAATCAGTGACGATCAATATTCACTACTGAGGAAACATTCTCTACAAATAGTCACAAAACGATTGGTTCATGGCAATTAATTTTCGCAAGTTTAAGTAGATAGTGAAACTCACAAATATTTCTTGCACCTGAATAAAAGGTGGTTTAAAGTATTTCTAATACTGCATGTGATATTAAAAAAAATGTCAAAATTGATATTTTTGTTAGAATTACTAGCATCAGTAGTATCAAGGACACCATACCACTTCCTGGAGTAAAATCTTTTGATTAACATTTTAAAAAATTGATTATCTGTTATGTTCCTAAGTTTAATTTGTTTGGTTTAGTGTTTCATTTTGTTTCAACAGTGGTTTAGAGTAGACACTATATTTCTTTACATAAATTTAATTTGGCTTAATTTAAAAAAAAAACTTATTTTATTCAGGATGTTGCAAAGAGTCTTAAGTTGGAAGATCCTGTCATTTGTCAGAGCATGTACATTTTCAAGGTACAAAGTCTGCACTTTGATATTGTTTTCTGTGTCATATTGACCTGGGAAATAACATTCTAGAAATTTCATTTTCTTGTTTTTATTTATTAACAGCAACCAGGAATTGGGGGAGAGGGTAAGTGCCAGTACTTTACTGTCCACTGGATGCCAATATGTCTGTCCTGTTAACAAAGGAGATTTTCTATTTTAATAGCTGTAATGCGTTTTATTATTCTATACATGTATATGTTTTTCTTACCTTGGTTTTAATCTTTATGAATAAGTATCAGATATGCATGGTATATGGACACATGTTTAGATATGTAAATTATTAAAACCCAAGTACCTGTGGTATCTCTGAGGATAAAATGGTTGGTCCTTCTCAGAGTTCTGATTATCCTTAAAATTACAAGGTTTTTTAATTCAAACAGAGATTACATACAGAATTTTATAATACTAGATGTGTTAATAATAAGATAGACACCAAATTTCTTCAGCTAATCAAATGACCTGTTTCAACCAAAACTAGAATGTTTATGGCTCATATATGTCAGTTTGGCATGTTCTGTATTTAAATATTACAGTGGTTCCCCATCAAGATGCCACTTTCCTGCTGACCACCCCAATGAGACTGTATGGAGTTTGGATTGCCTTGGAAGATGCCACATTGGAAAACGGTTGTCTCTGGTTCATGCCTGGCTCACACAAAGGTTTGTATCTTGTTTGATCTATTGTAAAAGCTGTGCGTATCTATGAAGGTAAACCTTGCAATGTTTGTACACCAAGTATGAAAGATCAAAACCCTTGCTACTTACATAAAGTAGACGTAATTTACTGTGTTGAACACTGGAGTTTACTCTGTTTTTGTAAAAGACCACATTTAATGACTCTATTACATAATGTCAAGTGTGTAAGGCTTTTGCACTGCAGACCTATTTCTTCTGCCTTACTTCTAGTATACATTTCTTTCATTATCTACCTAGATGGTCTTAATGGTGGCAGACAGATGATACGGAATCCTGATAAAGGTGAAGGTCAGCCCCAGACAGTGTTTACAGCGCCACCTGTCAAGTATGACGACAGCAAATTTATCCCAGTACCAGTTAAGAAAGGTACCTTGAAGAACCTTGAAGACCTTGAAGAACTGCATAAAGTTCATTTATTTTAATGAAATCAATTTCATTTTTGCTCAGTTTGAATTTGCCGTTTTGTCTCCTTTTATATTTAAATCTTGAAATATTGTGTCATTTAAACTGGACAGTAACACAGGCAAAGGAATCAAGACCATTAATATTTCCAAAGAATTCATCATTATTTATAATTATATATATGTTACAAAAATCTGTGCTGAAGGTGTTTTGTTGTTCACATCCCCAGGTAGTATGGTGATTATCCATGGAGAAGTTGTTCACAAGAGTGAACCTAACAAGTCAGATAAATCCCGACAGATCTACACGTTCCACATGTTTGACCAGAAAAACACAACGTACAGCAATCAGAACTGGTTAGTAGTCATGGAGAAATTAAACAAGAGGTCCATGAGCCACAATGCTCACCTGAGTACTTTTGACCATGATGTTCTTCACCAGATCTCCCCCCCTTGTAATACCTAATGTGGCCCAACCCTTTGCCTTGGGATCATGATTTGGGAAATTTTGGATCTTTACTGACCCAAGATGATTCCTTATAATTTTCAGCTTTCCTGGTCCTGTGGTTCTTAAGAAGAGTTTTAAAAGATTTTTCCTACATATTTCAATGTTAAACTTGGATTCCCTATTGTGGCCCTGCCCTACCCCCAGGAGGTCATGATTTGAACAATTTAGAATCTACACTACCCAAGGATGCTTCCACATAAGTTTCAGCTTTCCTGGCCCAGTGGTTCCTGAGAATTTTTTTTTTAAATGACCCCACCCTATTTTCGTCTTTTCTTGATGTCCCCTTGGAAGGGGGATTGGCCCTTCATTTTAATAATTTAAACTCCCCTTCACCCAAGGATGCTTTGTACATGTACCAAGTTTGGTTAAAATTGTCCCAGTGGTTCTTGAGAAGAAGTTGAGTACTTTTGGCCATGATGTTCTTCACCAGATCTCCCCCCCTTGTAATACCTAATGTGGCCCAACCCTTTGCCTTGGGATCATGATTTGGGAAATTTTGGATCTTTACTGACCCAAGATGATTCCTTATAATTTTCAGCTTTCCTGGTCCTGTGGTTCTTGAGAAGAGTTTTAAAAGATTTTTTCTACATATACTGACACGCAAAAGAAACGCAACACCCTACTTTAGGGTGAAATAATTATGTAAAGAAAAAATTTTGCTTCTTAAAATTATGGATATCTTCAATTTGGTAAATATCAGTAATTTAACAGTTGAACGATTTTCATACCATAACCGGAAGTCAAGTTTGAGTCTGCTTAACAGAAATCAAAAACTGCATGTTTAACAAAACATTTGGCAGTATTATGGAGTTCTAAGGGTTTGTACTGTTCATCTTAAGTAATGCAGCAATATTTCAAAAAATAAAATCTCCTTTTGTTTCCCGTAACGATGCTGAGGCTTCTCGAAAATGGCTTAAGTACGCATTTCCATTGCTCTAGCTGGAAAATATCAAAGTAAAGGTGATGGAGAGTTAATAATGCAAAAATACACTACATAACTCCTCAACGGGGTCTAACGCATTATATTCATAAAGGATAGTCCTTGGGCCGGAAGTCCAAGGGTTACTACAATGCGCTAAGTTATAGAAAATTCGACCTAATCATCTGAAAAACGGGCATTTAAAAATACCAAAAAATATGTCTTTCGCTCAGATCTCGATATTTGTAAACTTATTGTATCGTAGAAATTAGGTTGCTAAAGTTGTTTAGGACAGTCTTGCACGTTGTAACTGAATGGCTGGGAGGGGGGTGTTTTAACAGTCATACATTACTTAGTAAAGTTAAAAGATAAAGATTTAACACTTTTATAAAATCTCTGATGTTCTGAAAAGTGAGTTTAGCCTTAATGTATTCTTTTTAAACATCATTAGATAAAAAATTCAACCACTAGTAGATTACTGCCTGTTGCGTTTCTTTTGCCTGTCAGTATATTTCAATGTTAAACTTGGATTCCCTATTGTGGCCCTGCCCTACCCCCAGGAGGTCATGATTTGAACAATTTAGAATCTACACTACCCAAGGATGCTTTCACATAAGTTTCAGCTTTCCTGGCCCAGTGGTTAGTGAGAATTTTTTTTTAAATGACCCCACCCTATTTTTGTCTTTTCTTGATGTCTCCTTGGAAGGGGGATTGGCCCTTCATTTTAATAATTTAAACTCCCCTTCACCCAAGGATGCTTTGTACATGTACCAAGTTTGGTTAAAATTGTCCCAGTGGTTCTTGAGAAGAAGTTGAACATGCAATGTTTACATGGATGGACTAACAATGGACATTGGGTGATGAGAATATCTCACTTGAGCTTTCAGCTCAGGTGAGCTAAAAAACATTTCATATTATGAGCATTCAAAATCTATTTAGCATATATTTATTTGTTCAATTTGATAGATAACTTGGTAATAAAAGAGATAATATTCAGTGGATGTACATATTTTTCTATATCCATTTACTGGTACCTGGATTTTAGTCTACCTTTCCACAAGATTTACAAATGTTTGCATGTGTTTCAGGTTACAGCCTACCAATGAGGTGCCATTCACACCATTATATCCTACACCACCAGCCTAGAGGTGCTACCTAATCACCACCACCACTGGTACCACCTAGTGATTTACTGGCAGTGTCCCAATCAGCCAAAAGGCACTCCACAAGAGAGAATAAACAAACACTATATCTATATATCTATATTTAACACTCTGATTTTTTGGAATTCTATACATTGATTCTGGCCTATGTGCAATTATATCCAAGTAGTTTTTACCAGTAAAACTGATAGCATATGATTGATTCGAAAGATAATCATGTATATTAATTTAGTTATGCAAATACATCTATCAGGGGCATGTTTGTACATTTTTAACTTATTTTTTATGAATTTTACTTTTGATCATTCATGATTGATTGTTTAGAAAGAATCCAACATGATTAATTGATTCCTATTAATGAAAAAGCTTGTATCCAATACAAATCTTGAAAATGGACTTCTTGTTCCTTTTAGAATTGACAACAATTATAAATGTATGAGTATTGTACACTACACAGGAAAAATGTCCACATGTGTTGAACATATGTTAAACATGTGTTTAACATATATTTTTTACACATGTAAAACACATAAAAGGAGCACACATGTATAGGGTGTTTATTTTTACACATGTTAAACATATGTTTCACATGTGTTTAACATGTGTAAAAATAAACACAATGTATATTTATACATATGAAACATGTGTTAAACATGTGTTTTATATATGTTATACTTTATATGTGAATTATACGTGTATAATATTACTGTTGTACTTATTATCATTTTTATACTTTTTTCATGTCTGTCCACATAATATGTGAATCACATGAAAAGGGCAGCATATGTAAATCATATGAAATAGTTACATGTGTTCTCTTTCAATATTTATCACAAGGAAAAACACATTCTTGTACACATGTAAAAATCAGATATTTCTGCTTTAGATGAAAATCCATTACATTCCAATGATCTATCTTCATGAGGTAAATATTTGAAAATTAATATCTTAAAATGCTTACACAACTTTTTTGATAAATTATTTTCATCAAGAGAAATAACTTATTTTTCAGTGTACTTTCTAAACAGGAAAGTATACAAACAAGTCAGTAGCATTTGTCTATACATATATTTAACATATTCTAAGTTGAGTACAATTATAAGATTTCCACAAATGATTAAATAGTTAAACATGCATACATGTACAAATGAATAACATAATTAGTCCATGTTCTTTTTTATAATTTATATGATTTGACATGAAAGTGTCCAAAGCAAAATTGAAATATCACATATAACATTTGTCATGTATTCTCTATTGTAAATTTATGAAAAATCAAGTTATTTGATATTACAGCATACAAATAAGAATGGGAATTAAATGTTTACAGGTCAAATGCAGACAAGATTGTGTACATCCTCTCAATTTCATAATTATTTCATATATTTTCTTGTTCTTTTTCCTTCTGTATCTTTCAGTTTTCTTAAGTTGTCCTCCCTCTGATCTTCCATGAGCTTGACCATTTTGAACTCTCTTTGAACTGTACCCAAAATGCAAATCCACCATTTCTCCCTTTCCTGAACAATTTCTTTGTGGCACAGAATGGTCTCTACAAAAATTTCAAAAGTAAAAATAAAACAATTCTTAAATTACAAAATCAATTCTACAAGTAATATTAAAGTTCAGCAAACAAATGTATGCCCAATTCACCAACAGAGATATGATAAGAGATAAAACTAATGTTATATATGCTATACTGGGTGTTTTGTGGAATCCTATGATGTAATTTGCAAGACAATTACACTGTTGGAAGATATGCTTCATAATAAAGTCAAAAAAAGCATTTTTTTTTTTGATTTTGACAATTAAATTTGGAATGTACAAACAGTATTATTAATTCATATTGCCAAAAATTAAGAAGATTCTGACACAAATTTTTTATTTTTGGACAAAAAATACTACAGAGAAGTAGACAGGCAGAAAAACAGACAGTGTGATTCCAGGATATCCCAAACGTTGTTGGGAAGAATATAACAAAGTTTATTTAACAGTGTATAGTTACCTTAATTAAGCTTTTAAGCAAGTCTTGGATCTTGGGATTTATTCTTATGAGACGCTGACTGTATATTGAACCTGTAAAAGAAATATTCATGCAGTAGATATCTTCTAAGCATAACTAAAACTTAATTAAACTACAAAACTACAACTACAAAAAAGAGAGAGTACATGTTTATAGGTTCTTAATAGTCTTAATTAATATCTTACATTTTACCAGAAACTATGTTCTCTAGTGTTGGAAAAAAAATAATAAATGTCAGGTAATGAATACTGGTACATAATAGATGTAAATATCCAATGGATTAGCTAGCTGATGTACTTTCAACAACCAACACATATGCACATGTACTTGTACCTTGAAAGTTGGATGTCACTGTTATTATTAATTTTTAACTGAAATTCAATACCCCCCCCTCCCCCCCTGAAGTCATTTACAATACATGTACCAGTTTCATAGCTTTTAAAGCCAGCAAATTCTATTCATACTTTCCATATTTTAAAAGTGCACTGGATTAAAACTGTTTTATAATATAGAATAAAATCATTGTAGTATTGAATTGGACTTATTATTTATGAAGTCGTGCAAACAAATTATATAATGTAGAATTATAAAGGAACAAAAAGAAATTATCAAGAAATATTTTGTCATGAAGGAGTCATTACAGATGTTTACTTTGATTTTTTATTGCAAGTATTTATTTTTACCTTTAATATTGTGAAGATGCAATCATCTGTCAAATCAGCTTTAGGATCAATCGCCAGTCTTATCAGCTTTGGGCTTTTTAGACGCAGCACTGTGACACTGAACTCAAGTTACTGCATGCATCTATAGGCCATTAAAACAAACACTTGTTATTAAGTTGATGAAAGAATCGACTTGACAGCCATTTCAACATGCATAAACACCAACTAACAGTCACAATGGTTTCAAGGTTTCTACTTTCACTTTCATATCAGTACGTAACAAAAGGAAAACCAATGCCTTTAAAAAATAGCCTAACATGTAATGTTTACGTTCATTCAGAAACAAATTTATCCAAAATTACTTACCTGTATACAAATTATAAAAAATAGTAATGCCTTTAGCATGTTTAGCCTAACATGTAGGCCTAACCGCTTACATTCACGGGCACTGGAAGTTAATATAAATATATAGTATGTGTATGTATAAAAAAAGAAGGGTCTTTTTTTATACATACACATACTATATATTTACATTAACTTCCAGTGCTCGTGCTAACATTCAGTCAGAAACATTTTTCACCAAAATTACTTACAGATCACTAATGACACTATCGTTAGGTTTACAAAATTAATGACAAGTCACAATGATAAGAGTATATTACATGTAAAATCTGTAACATTCATACGCACCTGTAACTATAATGAAATGATATTTAAACAATATGAATTAAAAGTCTTTTAAAAATGGTTTGGAGATCACTTACCTTTCCAATACACCCAGCACGTCTGCTGCAGCAGTGACGTCAAAAATGACGTACATTTTCATCCGATAAAAGACAAAACCGGCCCGGAGACAAATACGGAATTATTTTAATTTTACTCAAGAAGTAAGCCAAGCCCATAAGATTTAAAATGAAAAGAAAATGAATTCATTCTTTATCAATTTTGTCTGATAAATGCATTATTACAGAAAAAAAATTGTGAAAGTTTTTTTTTTAGAAGGGAAAGGGGGGGGGGGTAAACAAAGTAAAACTTTACATGAGTAAAATTTTACTAACATTTACAAATTCTTTTGAATTAATGTACACACACATATGAGATAAAACTTAACATGTGTATAACATGTGTTTATGAATACACATATATTTTATATAAATTAAACATGTATAATTCATCTGTATTTTCGCACACATATATTACATATGTATAATACGTGTTATACATGTGTGGTGAAAAACATGTGTTTAAGATATATATTATCTCACAGGTGTATAACATGTGTATATTTTATATGTTTTACATATAAATGAAACACATATTTTACATGTGTTTATTTACACACATGTATTACATGTATAAAACATGTGTTGAACACATGTGAAACCAAACATATGTTTAACACATGTGGACATTTTTCCTGTGTATGTACATGTATTTAATCATTGAGAATAAAATGGAAATCTTGATTTTTTTTTCTTAAGGATGTCAAAGTCACACTGATGGCATAGTTTACAATCAACCAAAAGTTTCGGTTAGCAACAAAATATCTGTCGTCCTGAAATTTTAGAAATTTGAATTACACAAACTTTATAGTCTATATCAAGTGCTACAAAAATTATCATTGTCAGAACCCAGTCCGTCTTCTTCTCTAGAGTCTCCAAAAAGAGAGATTCCGACTCCCTGTGCTGGGACCAAGCAAAGATATAAGGCCTAAAGTATTTGACTATATTGTTATGCAATAACAGACATAATACAGATAGAGAAAGGCTAGAGATAAATCATTTTAATTTACTTTTTTCGCAAGGAATATTCATAATCTATGGGCTATATGTACCATTGATTAAATACTTCATAGTTCCTATAATATTTACTTGGTAATTAATGATACCAAATATTTCATTCAAAGGTCAAAATCGAACTGTAGTGCTTCAAACAATGTTGGTGCACGAAGTAATTAGATTGCACTTTCTTCCAAGCATAATGATGAAAACTAAAAGATGTTAGGAAAATCAAAAGGATTTCTTTGTTTTGAAATTTATATTTATTAAGATATATTTTAACACCATTGTTGTGAATCTACACTTCTAATTCATTCCATAAAAAAAATGAACAACACTGGAATTCTAATCAGCTACTGATTTTTTATAATTGTAGGTACACTGAGGCTTTTTTTTCACCACCACCAAATGGTAGCAATAAATCTAACCTGAAATTCTGAAAAAATTAATGCACAAACTATATATAATATTTGCTGACATGTACTGATCATGTATACAACAGTAATTTATAGTAAACAGATTGGCTAATCACAGCTATGGAATGAAGACATGGGAAGACGAGGGAGGTAGTGGGAAACACGGTTGCTATGACAACACGACTAGAAGCTGTCCCAACTCACGTAATACAATCAGGATTACAGTATAATAAACAATTAACACCAATCAACATGATTTTACCCCATGGTAATGTCTCAAAGAAATTAATTCAGATAAAATAATACCATGTACACACACTGGTGGGAACTCGAAGAAAGTACTTGATAAAATGTGCTTTGAACAAAAATTTTAACTGAAACACTGCATGTATAACATCTTAGTGAAACTACTACATAATCAGAGCATTTTTTGACTAAATTAACTTAGTCTCAAAAAAGCAGGGTAGAATACTTTTAATAAAATTAATGAACATTTAGAAAAATGTCTGCTCTTCAAACTTAAGACTAAAATCCTGTAGGATTATATTACAAGTAAAAATTCTAAAACACTGATTCAAAGAATGCCATATTTTCTGTAGCACCAATTCATAAAGGTTAACAAACATACAATTTTTTTCTGCTGGTATATTGTTACATCACTACAGAACATACTCTTCTGAAAATTTTATCACAATCATATTTCATGTATACATATCATCACAGTTACATATATTACATGTAAATCACAATTGAATGGTTTGACCTGAGATTTAAATCAAGCTCAGCCAATATATCTTATCAAACAAGTATCTAACCTAATGCCCACACATGTTACAGTTTTGATTGCACACTTCCTTCTAAGACGGTTTTCATCTCGTGTAGAGACTGTCTGATTGAGTTTATAAATTTCCTAGATTCCGTCTCAGGACAGCAGTTGAAGGCGGAAACTCCGAAAATAATCTGTTTCTCCTGAGGGTTGTAACAGACGCCATAACCGTCAGGAACCGTGGGGCCGAACACCAGACAAGCCTCATGCTTAGCTGGTACCTAAAAAATCAAAATCAAAGTTCAGTTTGAGTAAAGTTTACAAGAAAGTAACATAAAGTTGAGAGCTATGTGATATCCTATAGAGTTGCCTGACTAGTTGTTATTTTTTATTTTACCTGAGTAGTTGTAATATTTCTATTTACCTGACTAGTTGAGACGTTATGATGACTGCTTAGAGAGTAAGCCATGTCCATATGCAGGGCTGGAACTTTCATATTATTCTGAAGAGCAATCAGTTTAAGTCCCAGTAAGTGTCTGTCAATGCCTTGCCCCTTTACTGCCTGTAGAACAAAAAATTATATCATCACTGGTAAAGTAGATATGATGGTTTAAAAAACTAGTGTGACAATAGTTCATTCAATAAATCATATATGTTGCAAAAAATAAAATACATAGAATGCTCTGTTGCATAAATTCTATGTATCTTTCAAAATACTGTGTACAGGGTTATTTTCACCCCATCTTATTTTCCCCCTCTAACACCTGCAATTGTGAAAGGGACGAAAATAAAATGTTGACAAAAATTTCCCTGTATACAGTAATTTCCTGTGGAGGAACACTTGTGAGTTGACCTGACCTCTGCTACGTAGTTTTTATGCTCAGCCACAGCCCTCCTCAGAAGTTCGGCTTTCTTCTGCTTGGATAACGCAGAGTCCATCATTCCCTTAGAGAACTCCAGGGACTCGACGGAACACGACCTGATTGTGTCTGTTCTACCCAGCTGAAACTGACGCAGTGAAGCTGTCTCATACGTAGCACAGGGCTTGGAATATAACCTGTGTAAAAAGAGAAGGTTCAGTATGAATAACTTCTCAAATTTATTAGAAGACAAAGCAAGAAGAAACAGTGTAATATCACAGTAAGGTGTTACATGCAACTTCATTTTTAAATTCAAAACTTAAAATTTTTATGTCCAGCGAATTGACAAAATTCATAAATCTCCACCAATCAAACAAACCAAATAATTTTTCAGAAACATGTATAAATCCTGTTTTTGATTGTCTCATTAAAGTAATTTTTCATAAACATGTTACATGTATAACTCAAGTTCTTGATTCTATCAATAAGGTAGATTTACCTGTAATAAGCTAACTGGAAGCCAAGGTCAATAGATTTACCTGTAATAAGCTAACTGGAAGCCAAGGTCAATAGATTTACCTGTAATAAGCTAACTGGAAGCCAAGGTCAATAGATTTACCTGTAATAAGCTAACTGGAAGCCAAGGTCAATAGATTTACCTGTAATAAGCTAACTGGAAGCCAAGGTCAATAGATTTACCTGTAATAAGCCAGCTGGAAGGCCATCTGTAGGTAGCTGTCGGGACTGAGCTTCTGGCTCTTGGGGAAGTTTTTTCCGTACTCCGTAAATTTGAACACATTTAAATCTACATCCTTGACTAACCTGAAATATCAAACTTTCATTAACAGTGATAACTAAACAATAAAGTCATTCTCATATTCTGATAATGGAATATGAGCTACAATTTTTTCTACTTCTTTCAATAAAAAAACCCCAAAATGTACTATGCAGAAAAGTAATTTTCCTTCCTTAGATTTTTTGAAGTGTTTTTCATGACTTTGGAGCAAGGATATACAGTAAAACTCGGTTATAACAAAGTCATTGGGACCTATGAAATTACTTAGCTATATCCGTAATTCATAATATCCATACAAGAATTTGTTAAATTTATATAGCTTGGGATCCAAGATAACTTCCCTCTATCCGTGAATTTGCAATATCCGTGTTCATACTAAACAAGTTTTACTCTACCGCAAATTTCACGGTTTCTGGCAGAAAAATTATAGAGTATGATTATTCTGTCAGAGGTAAGTATAAGAGATTACGACATCTCATACCCAAGGAGTACATTTTTCAAAAGAAGTTAATCTGGGGCCCATTGAGTTCAATATAAAGAGGTTTGACTGTATCTAACAACCGAAAATAAACAAAATCTGAAAACTGAGATTGACAATTGGCTGTACTTACGAATCAATATTATCTACAGCTTCCTCTATGTTTTCTTTCAGTTCAGGAAATTTGAGGTTTAACTGGAGTTTTCTAGGAGCTTTTACATCAGGGGATGGTGTAGAGGCTACCTCATTTTTATCACTAAAAGAAGGCAAAATAATGTTACAATGTACTGTACATCACTATATATATATTTGAAACACCTATTTCCACCTAGATATTTGGTATTTATAAACAAGATAAAAAAAGATTTTAAATATGTAAAAGATGACATACCATATAGCGGGTTTTCATGGCGGGTGTAAACTTTGGTGTTTTGCCTGCTCAAAGGTATGCCATTAAATTTGGTGTAATTTATTTTAGCGAGTGCAGGGTTTCAGCTCTTTTCTGATGGACACTAAGAAGAGTACTGACTATTTTAGCGATTAAAATTTTAGTGGACTATAATAAAAATGCCAAAATAAGCCAAAATTAGCACCCCGCTAAAATAACCCGCTATACGGTAATACACAGTGTTTTCCCTTAATTTCAAAGTAAAGGGTTAGAGATCAGTTGTAACAGGCTAGGGGTTTAGGTTTATGAACAGAATCTCTGTCGATCTTACGACAAATTTTTATTTCAAGGCAGCATTTTTGTCAATTGAAGCGTTCAATTTGGCCAGTAGCCGGTTCTTAGGGAAAACACTGAATACATGTATACTCTACAAGAAATTATTTTAAAGTAATGATTTCATATTCTTGCATATTTGTCCAGTCCTCGACCTATTACCAGTAATCCAGGATGTGATCTACAATAGATATAATGGGGGGCCCCTCAGCTGTGGTGTGCTCGTAATTCAGACCACAGACTCCATTCTTCCCAACAATAAACTGAAAATGAAAAGAAGAGTTAAGGAATAGCTGTCTCTGTCATCTCCATTCTTACAAGGCTACAGTATATAAAAATAAAGTAGAAACAATGATTTTCTAGAGTAGAACTTGTGAGAAGGTGAGATTTCCTTGTTTTAGACAGACCTGCAGTGTTTTATCACACCACCTGTTGGCTGAGTTGAATTGACTCCCTCCGCCGTGTAGCATCATTTTAGCGGCTGTGCTTTCTTCCTCCCCGGGAGTGCTGTCTGGCAGTTTATTGTCTATACAGATCACACATATGCTACGCTGTATTATTGATAACGAAGTTTTGGTTTCCTTGTCTGAAATAGTCAAACAAATTTTAAGAAAATACAGTATTTTGTCAACTTTAGTGATGTGCATGACTTGTGAATTTTCAAATAGACAATGACTGTACTAATTTTCTTCATATATCCTCTTACTAATATGAACATGGCGTTATCTCTAAGCAGCAGAACTGACTATTTATGGCTACTTTTACAGAGTTTTTGTTTCTGGCTTCTCCTACCTTTCATCAGGAGTTCGTAAGACTTGGCCCATTTGTTCCTGTTCTCAGTGGTAAGTAGTCCTACGGGCACCTCCTGCTCTTTAGATTGGTACACGATGTATTTCAGCTGTTCATACAGCTGATCGGTGCTCAATGGCTGGTTGTTACTGCCATAGGCCTCCAGGAAAAAGAACTGTAACAGACAAAGAAACAACATTAAATAGCTGAAAAGTTTATCAAATTTTCATGTATCTAATTTTTATACCCCCCCCCCCCCAAAAAAAATATAGATTAAGGGTTATATAGTTTTTGGTCAGTTGGGATGTCTGTCTCTCTGTCCAAAAACTTTAACCTTGGCAAATAATTATATACATGACTTACAGCATTGTTGTGGGCCACCACGAAGTGTTTTGGAGGGTTGGCCTCGTCTGGAGGGTAACAGACCCAGGTGTCCTTCTTTTTCCCTGGGATACGACACCCACACAGGATCTTGTAGTACTGCATCATACACAGGGGCTGCTTCCCCATCTTCTCCACAGGGAGGGTCTGTCTGATAGAGAGGTAATCATATATATCGGGAAGAATACATTATTACTAGAGTGAGGGTGTGTCTGATAGAGACAAATTCTTATCAGTTATGTAATCAGTTATGTATGCTATAGAGCGTTTTAAAAAGTAACTCATATCTTGCTCAAAGGTTTTCATTTTTCACATTGGTTTATTCTCTCCCATGGAAAATTTATCTTTTTTCAAACAATTTTTTAACAAAAATCACTTTGTGCAAACTTGGCTAAATATGTTAATTTTGTTCCTAATTAAACATGTGAAAATATAATAGACACACAGAGTTCATAATCACGATAATATAACAAACTACCATCAAACAGCATTTTATATGTACTAAGTGTACTACATGTTGCTGAACCAAATAATAGTCATTACTCACTTGTCTATCATGGTTTTGTAATCTAAAAGACCAGATATCAATTTGGCTGTGAATCTGAAAAAGAATGAAATTTTATATATTGGTTAATATGTATAAACCCATATCAAGATTGATCCTATATTTTATATGATAAAAGAGATCTAATAATGAAAACTGCAAAAAAATACCGTATTTGGCCGAGTATAATACGCATTGATGTAAAATACGCACCCCCCTTTTTGAGTCTGAAACTGGGGGGAAAAAGGCAGTTCGGATGTATTATACGCAACAGAAAAATTTACCAAGCGATGTTCTGAACTATGAAAATTACGGTAATTTGTTAAGAAATTTGGCGCGAGGATTAGGTGTCAAAAATTTACTGAACACACTTTTTTTAAAATACACACTTTATAACTTTCTCTTAATCCTGACATTCCGTATCGCGGCAATCTGAAGAAAATTATTTATTCATTTATTTCAACAAAGCACAAGATAATGGTGCGTAAAAGTATTAACAGATTTTTTTAAAAGAATAGTTACGGTGATTTTGAAATTATGCGTCGCCATATTCTTAGATGAAATAATTTTATTTCAACAAAAAAGAGATATTGTCGAAAGTTTTATCAGTTGTCATATTTAATTTTGGTTCAAGATAATCATGCTTAAAATTATCTTACAATATTTTAACAGGAAACGAAATTGAAACATCAAAGTATTTATTTATTTAAGAAGACTACGATTTTCCTCTTCTTAATCTTCGCGGATATCTTATTTTCTAAATGATACCACTTTTATTAAAAGTTTAGCATAATTTATATTTCATTTATCAACTCTCAATTATTTAAACAAGAGGCCGATAAGTATAAGATAAGGTAAAATTACATTTAACAAGTGTTTAATTGTTTAAGTGCCGTAATCAACACATGCTCACCATGCTCACACATACGAAAGGTCATAAACCGACCCCCAATTTTTAAAAAAGAAAATAATCACAGCAATTAACATGGCAGTAAATAATCAGTGCTCTAACTGTAAAAACATTGCTTTGGAGTCGGTAGACAATTAATTACCCCGAGGGTGTTGATAGGTAATTATCATTTGACCAGCGCACGTGTGTCACAACATTGGCTTCCTTTCATTGGGACGTATGGAGGGGTGTTAATATTGTTGCAGATTATCAATGAGTTATTTTAAACCTAAAATTAATATTTATTTTATTGTATTTCATTAAAAAATGATTTATTACTTTGTCTGGCAGATAAGGTGCATGTGCACTATCATTCCGGAAGCACGTGACATAGCTATGAGTGAACGTCTAAAAATAACATCGGTAATGGCGGCCTCCTCGGAGACAATCAACATGCAGCTCAAATTACTTTTAACTTACTTTTTCATGTTATTTGGGCATAAAAAGATTATGAAAGTGACATTTTTAAGAAGCATACCTTCCAACAATAACTTTCCGAAGTTTAAAATATGGCAATTAACAAAAGAAATTGCATATGTCTCTAGGTAATACTACGGTATGTACGTATGATAGCCGTGTTTCACCTGAAAGAAAAACTTGTCAAAATCCCATTGTGATGTAAAATACGCATCCCTTTCTCACAGAAATTTATTTTAGAAAAAAAGTGCGTATTGTATTCCCCTAATTACGGTAATCTGAACATGCTGTCCCTAGTGAGTTGTCTCTCTTTGTGTAGGCCTGTTCACCTGAGTTGTCTCTCTTTGTCTAATTAGTTCTGTTAAGGAAACACGCCTTACATAAGTTGTCTCCCTTTATGTAGTTTTAATACCCTGAGTAGTCTTTCTTTGTATGTGAAGTTCTGATAAGAGAACATAACTTACCGGAGTTGTCCCTCTTTATCTTCGTAGTTCTGTTAGGGAACACAACTTTCCTGAGTTGTCTTCCCTTGTTTGCATAGTTTTGTTACCCTGAGTGGTTTCCCTCTGTCTATGTTGTTCTGTTTCAGGAATAGAACTTACTTGAGTTGTCTCCCTTTGTCTTTGTTCGTTCCAATTTACCTGATTTACCTCTCTTAATAGATGGAACACAACTAACTTGAGTTGTCCCTCTTTGTCTGTGGAACATAATTTATCTGAGTGGTTTCCCTTTTGTTTGTGTTAGTTCCAACTTACCGGAGTTGTCCTTCTTTGTCTGTGTAGTTCTGTTTAGGGAACACGACTCCTGGGCTGACGTTGACAGTTACAGGCTGACGGAATTCCAGGTAGGCGGTGTTAGTCCACCAATCAGAGAGCTTATAACAAAGAGAGGGAATATCAGATCAACACTACAAAGTTCTACATAGCTTACATTTAACAGAGCAAGTGATATTTAGAGAACAGTTAACGAGTAATAACTTAATTTATCGTACATCCACATTAGGGCGGGACATACAAGTGATATTTAGAGAACAGTTAACGAGTAATAACTTAATTTATCGTACATCCACATTAGGGCGGGACGAGTTGCACGGCAACGAGTCTCGGCCAATGTGGATGTACGATAAATTAAGTTATTACGAGTAACTGTTCTATAAATAACTTGTATCATGGATAACTCCGCCTACATTCCTAATTAGCTTTAGTGCAGCAGAAATAAGTTAATATCTAGAAAAGTCTAGAATTTTCTTGATAAACCCCGCCCACCGTCGCAAAGCATTGTGGTATAGCGCAACTCGTGTGCAGACGACATTTCCAGAAAAACAGCGAAAGAAAATGGACGACAAAATCGGCACCATCAATTTTCATGAGATTGACTTTTTAGCAATAAATGAGGATGATTTCACTCTATCACAGATATGTGATGCCATTGAAAAAGAAGAGGAACTTATTGATGGTATGAACACTTTGACATTAACCCGACAGGCGCGAATGCATTGAACCTCCATCTGTTTGGAGATTTTAATTTAAACGGCATGGACGGAGGTGCCACCGATAGATTCAGTGAAACGAACAGCGATGAGTCGACCAAGCGTTTCGGGGGAATTTCTAATTCCAAAATTGAGAAGTTGATTTCTAGTCAAGAAAATCAAAATACAAAGAGAAATACTCGTTGGGCATTTGGGGTTTTCGAAAAGTGGCGCCAAGAAAAAAAACAAAAATCTGCCTTTTGAACTTGCAGTACCGGAACTCCTATACATGGATGTTTCTACTATGAGCTATTCATTGACATATTTTGTATGCGACGCACGGAAGAAGGACGGAAGTGAATACCCACCTAAGTCGGTCTACTATCTAGTTTGTGGATTGTTAAGGTATTTACGAGACAACAAGAGACATGACATTAACTTCTTTTCAGACTTGAAATTTGTGGAGTTTAGAAAAACGCTGGATGCTCAAATGAAATCCCTCTTGTCTAAAGGACTGGGAACTAAAGTCAAACAGGCAGATCCAATAACTCAAGAAGACGAAGAACTGCTTTGGGAAAGAGAAGTACTGGGAAACAAGTCCGTGGAAACGCTACAATATACAGTGTTTTTCTACATGTGTAAATTATTCGGTTGCGGGGATTTGATGAGCATAGAGACTTGACATGTGCAAACGTCACGATTAGTGAGGATGGGCGAGGTAAATACATCCACTTTTGCGGCGGTTCAAACAAGACTTTTAAGGGAGGACTTGCCCACCTATCTCTGCAAAGTAAAGACATTCGGCACTATTGTCAACCAGGTACGGTATTTTTCCTTTAGATTGATTTTTTTACATTTAAAACTACAAATTGATGAATATAAATTTATTTTTGTTACTTTTTTTTAAGGAGATCGATGCATAGCCGACTATTTTCATCAGTACCTTGATGCACTTGGACACGAGGGAGAGTTTTACAGACGTCCACTTGCAGGGAACCCTATTCGATATGGTGCACAAGTTGTTGGTGTTAATAAGATTAAAAGCTTCATGAAAATCATCTGCAAAAAGGGGGGTCTCATTGGAAACTTTACTAACCACAGTGGAAAGCGTACCTGTGCTAGCCAGTTATACAGCGCTGGAATGGATGAACAGGAGATCATGGAGAGAACCGGACATAGGTCAGAGCGAGCAGTGCGAAAGTACAAATGATCATGTCCAGAGGTCAGTAAAATACTTGATCCACTGGCGCCGAAAGCAATGAAAATGGAAACACCGTATGACGAAAATGATAACCAAGAACCTATGTGTGCTGAAAATACGCTGGAAAAAGTCTGTGAGAGTTTGCAGTCTATGGCCTCTAGCAGCAATTCGTCAAAACAAATTAACAACAGGGCAATGGCGGATTTGACCAACAAGTTTCAGTTTGAAAACTGTAAAATTTCGTTCAATTTTTGAGACAAATGCTTGTGACATGGCTTAATGCAGGAAAAATTTAAAAAATTTGGTTTAAATCATACATGGCAGTACATGTGTCAACCTTTTTTTTTGTTGGTTTGTGAAAAAAAAATAAATTGTTTGTTAGCACTTTGTCTTTATTTTAAAAGTGTGCAATAACAAGTTATCACATTGGAAGTTAACGCATACTTAAGCTCCACCCCCTTTCATTTTAATTGGATTTAACATTTAGGCAACTTCAAAGGGAAAATACCGCATCCATGATACAAATGACAATTAAAGCACTAAAACACATCCAGAGAAATGTTATCATATGTATTACTGTGTGTGCCAATCCTATCTGTAAAACAATAGTACCACTTGTACCTGTATTACTCAGTGTACCTGTTCTTCTGTTTTACAGTATATACCCATTCTATTTACATTATACCTGGTCATACTGTACAAGTTGTATCTTTATAATAATGTGAACCAATTTGACTTGTATAATGAGATGTTTACTTTGATCTGTATTATATTGTACACCAGTCTCTATCTACACACTTTTGTTGTCTATCCATTTCCCGATAATTTCCCAATACTTACCCAGTTGGTCTCCTTTTGTGCTCGTTTCTCCAACAGACTCTGTAACTTGGGACCTGGATCTCTTTTGAAGTCTTCTACTACCTAGAACATGTCCAATTAATTAGGAGAAAATACTTGGTTAAAAGTATTTTTTTGATATATCTTTAGCATGTAAGAATTAATCTTATTTCTGATTATTTGTCTATTGTTTTCATAGAGAGAAAGACTAAAATGTTTCTCACAGATATATGTTTATACCAGCATTTTGCATGAAAACTGAACAGGTCATACAAGAGGTCCATGAGCTACAGAGCTCACCTGGGTCAATCCCTCTCCTGTACCCCTAATCCTAGCCTCTTAGGTAATTATTGAAAAAAAATGAATGTGCAGTTAATGACTTTTTAAAAAAAAAATGTTTTTCATTACTAGATCTACATCCTGATTTCCTGTTATAAGACACAAATCACATGTTAAATAATAATATGAGACTCTTTACTGCATTCAAAGAAATTGATAATAAGTGTAGTTATCAAATGACTAAGACAAGCACAGATCTATATAAGGTCATGTCAGTGTGCAAAAGACATGGGAAATACCTATTAAATTTAAACAAGAGGCCCATGGGCCTTATAGGTCACCTGAGCATTATGCAACAACCTTCCTACAGTGATTGAATTTGATTCATGTTTTAAGCCAGATGCTATAGCATTTACAATTTTGATCATCATAACTATACACTTAGCAGTTGCTTCAAGTTTGGTTACTTAATACCCATAGGCAGGGTAGGGGAACAAAAAATGCATTTCAACAAATCAGTAATATTCAGCAATAATCGGTAGTAACTCTACCACACATGAACCCTTGAATCTTGCACAATTTTTGAAAAGGCATCCTTGGTTTTCAAAAATATTTGATTCATACCAAGGAGCAGATTTCAAACAATTCATTCATTTTCAGTATATAGGTACAGCCCCCCCCCCCCCCCATGGTACAACTGACCCTAGGGGCTTGAAATTCACAATTCTTGAAGATAAGGGTCTTTGCTCATAACTATATACTAGGTAGTTCATCTGCTTAATACCCAGCACAAGAAGAAAATATTCATATTTAATGTTTTTTCACTATACATGTATAATCAATAGAGCCCCGCCCTAACACCAGAACCCCTGACCCTGGGGCCATAAAATTCACAATTTTGGTAGAGGCACTCTTGCTCATCATAACTATGTACTTAGTTTGTTTATTTAATACCTAGAAGCAGAGAAGAAGATTTTCAAAGAATTCATGTACCGTATTTTCACTATATAATCAATAGAGCCCCGCCCTAACACCAGAACCCCTGATGCTGGGGCTATAAAATTCACAATTTTGGTAGAAGTACTCTTGCTCATTATAACAATGTTCTTATTTAGTTTATTTAATACATAGGTGTAGAGAAGAAGATTTTCAAAGAATTCATGTATTTCACTATATAATCAATAGAGCCCCACCCTAACACCAGAACCCCTGACCCTGGGGCCATAAAATTCACAATTTTAGTAGAGGCACTCTTGCTCATCATAACTATGTACTTACTTAGTTTATTTAATACCTAGGAGCAGAGAAGAAGATTTTCAAAGAATTCATGTATTTTCACTATATAATCAATAGAGACCCGCCCTAACACCAGAACCCCTGACCCTGGGGCCATAAAATTCACAATTTTGGTAGAAGTACTCTTGCTCATCATAACTATGTGCTTAGTTAGTTTATGTAATACCCAGGAGCAGAGAAGAAGATTTTCAAAGAAATAATGCATTTTCACTATATACTTATTTAGCCCCACCCTAGCACAAGAACCCCTGACCCCAGGGCCATGAATTTCACAATTTTGGTAGAGGACTCAATGCTGATTACAATCATGCAAACAGTTTGACTGCTTGATGTCCAGGAGTAAAGAAGAAGATTTTTAAAGATTGCATTAATTTTAGTGGTTTTGGCCCCACCCCCCAGGCCCCAGGGGGGCAGGGATCATGAAATTCACAATTTTTGTTCCCCCTCACCCATAGATGCTTTGTGCCAAATTTGATTGAAATTGGTTCAGTGGTTGCAGAGAAGAAGCTGAAAATGTTCGAAAGTTTACGACCGATTGACGACGAACGACGAACGACGTACGACGGACGACGACGGACGAAAACAGATAGCAATAGGTCACCTGAGTGACTCAGGTGACCTAAAAAAAAAAAAACAAAAAAGAAAAAAAAAAATTAAATTTTATTTTTAGCATTCATAAAAAAAAAATGAATGGTAATATAAACTTTCTTTAGAATTCTAAATTTATTACTGGTAGTCCGTCTACACTCTATTTTCTGTATTTTACAATGCAATGTTCTCTCTAGACTTTGAAAGCATGTATTTATGTATTCCTATGAAAAGGATCAAAGTCCATTTTTAAATGCTCTACTTGACATCCTTGATGTTCATAATTTTATCAACAGTAGGCAATCAATACATTTGCAGGTTTGACATAAATTTCTTGTCTCCATCTTAAAGATCATGCATATGTTTATATTATAGTGTGTGACCCAGAAATTGATATGTCAATTGGACAATGACCCATGACTATGAATAATAATTTTTTGTATACATGTATAATTACTTTTTTAGAAATGTCAAAAAATGACTTTCTCACTAGACAGTCAGTGAAGCTCTAACACCAGACTAACACACAATTTATTGCTCTAACAGAAGACTAACACACAGTTTATTGATGTGAATTGTAATTTTGTACCTTTTGAGTGTTGGCGTACTCTTCATCCGTCAACAGAGGTCGGACCGATCGTAAGTACTTCTGGAGGGTCTGGTCTAGGGGAGGGACAGGCAGTTTGGGGAGGGAGTCCTGCACAGAGAACATCCTCCCCACAAATAACTTCCCATCGGTCTGCATCCTCTGTAGGTTACAGGACACACGATGGATCTGTCAACACACAAATACACAACTACATCTACATATCGTCACTGGGTTATTACATTTTATATAATAGCACAAAGAAATCTTAAAAAGGACCATCATCAAATTTCTAGTTAAAATTTATTTATATACCTTATTAATAAAGTTAATAAATATACCTCACAAGTACATGTCAGTCATGTAATCAAATGTCAACACAGCCGACACACTTTCTGCTTCAATGCATACCAAAGAGAGATAACTCTACATTATCAGTCTAATTTGTGACCTGGTGATAAACTAGATCTTTATGTATATTGTCTAGAGTAAAATGCACTGATGTAACTAGAGTTCCATATATAGATATTACACTTTGAACTTTTTCAGTTTGAAGGTTTGACTAAGCTCTCTCTCAAGAGATCAAACCTAAGTTTAAACAAGTAGTAGACAAGAGGTTGATGGCCTTTACCATTCAACTGATTATAACCATTCAACTGATTATAACTTTTCATTTCATTGAAGGGGGGGGGGGGGTTCTAAGCAACATTGCAACATCACGTAGCCCAAAGCCACATTACCCGGTACATGCTCTTTTTAATTATTGACTTTTATAACTTGAGTCCAAATACACCACAATTAATCTAAAGCCAATGATTTATACCTAATACATATTGGACTTTGTTCCAATTTATCAGTAACCACAATTACATAAAAAAATAAACCCCATCAACCTTGTTTCTACACTGAATATGTAGGCAGACTTTTAAAAATTCCAATGCATTTCTGGTCCAATTCCTGTCAGAATTAACAATCTACATTACATAATTATGCTAAATAAACTGAATTCAGAATCTCCCATGATCATAAAACAGACTAGTTTTAGACTTATTTTCAATCGTTAGATACTTACTAATTCTGAACTTAAATTCTAAATGTGTACATCAGAGCTCTTTAGAAATGCAGTTTAATATTGGACTGAGACTCAGTATACTAATGCTTATTGTATATAATTATATATATGCAATATGTATTATAATCTAGTCATGGCATTTGTCTAGCATGTCATCAGGCATATAACCAGAATTTTTACTTTCCAAAAAGGGTCATGACCTATGAATTTGAATAACTAGCCCCAAACCAGTTTGTAAGAAACTAAAAATCTAGAGACCCCTGGACTACAATTCTCACCTGAGTCATAATGGGTATGTTAATTAATGTTATGTTTCCATGACAAATATACCCCATAATGCTGTCCCACCATTGCCCCAAAGGGTTATGACTTCAACAAACTTGAATGATCAGCATATGGAGATGATAGATATCTGTATCATTTCAGTTTTATGGTATTTCAAACCTGTGGATTGTTTCTGTAGAATTTCTATGAAGTAAACAGCTGAAATAAATATTATTGTTCCTTTTTTGTAACACATACATATACATGAGTGTTTACATTGTACAGGGCAAGAGTTACTGTTCCTCCAAATTGCAAAGCAGATTACTTGCAATATGATTGTTTTGGTTGAAGAACTCTGAGGCTAAATCAGACTAAATGAATGTGAAAATGGAACAGGTCTCTCCCGATGGATGATAATCGCCATTGAATGGTCACTCAAATATTATGAGATGACCAAAAACAGTTATATCTCAAATGTTGTCCTAAGACAGCTAGAGTGTAACAGATGACAACTGAGGAAGAATTACGATAATGACAGAGCTGTGGAAAACTGCCGGTCATGCCGGCAAGACCGGCAAAAAATGCCTGTGACCAGTAAAAATGCTATCGATGTCGGCCCAAATGACCGACCTCTTTCTTTGTTAAAGGTTTTAGATTTTCCATTTTGATTTAGGCCTATCATCGGCACGTTTTAAAATAATTATGTGTGTTGTATTTGTATTAAATTTCATCATGTATATTATTAGTAACATTAAGTTTCTTTTTAATTTTGAACATTCCAGAGTGGTCAACATGCTTCTGAAAAAGTTTTCCACAGTCATGAAAATTCCATCTAGAACATTCATGGATTATTTTAATAAAAATCGATGTTTTTTTAAGAAATTAAAGTTTGAAGTGTTGTGAGGTGTGTTGTATTTGTATTATTTCATCATGTATATTTCCAGTAATATCATGTCCAGAACTTTCCAGGAATTCATGTACTTAAATTTCTAGAATATTCTAGATTTATATTACTGTATAAATACCCTGTCAATTCGATGCATAGATACTCTTGTCGTATGAGCACCATTGAGTTACAACTGGGATATATTTTCACTGGGACATTGTGTGCAGCAACGGACACTCTGATGTATGTATTTTTAGATTTTTGCTAAGTTTGTACTTAATGATTTGTATATTACTGTAAATAAATTATTGTTAAGTTTAAACTGTGTGATTGATCTTTGCTGGCATTTAGGGTTATTCTGACCCATAACAGAATTGGGGGCTCGTCCGGGATCAAGAATTTCTTGCACTTTTGCAGTTCATTGTCAGAATTTTGTTAATTAAATTGTTAAATTTGACTATAAGCCAGCAAAAATCAACATGGTATTTTCGGTCACAAACTTTCTTAGTTCGCCAAGTGTTCAGGTTTTTGATACGTTAAAAAAGGATGACTTGATCGCATTAGGTTTGCATTTTGGGTTAGATGTTAAATCCTCTCAGAGAAAGCAAGACATTAGAATTAAGGTTGCAAACAAACTAGTAGAAGAAAACATCTTTGAAAAATACGATCTTCCAGAATATACAGTTAAAACAGAGTTAGGCTCTTACAAAATGGCAGAATATCAGTTTCAATTAGAGTTAGAGAAAATGCGATTAGAAAGAGAAAAATTAGAAAGAGAAGAGCGAGAAAGAGACAGAGAAAGAGAAAGAGAAAGAGAAGAACGAGAGCGTGAACGGAAATTTGAATTAGACAAATTAGAAAGACAAGAGCACTTTGAGTTAGAGAAATTAAGATTACAGCAGAAACCAGAACCGTCATTTGTCAAGCATGAATTTGATGCAGCAAAAAATATTAGGTTAGTTCCGAAATTTCAAGAAAAATCTGTAGACAAGTATTTTCCCCAATTCGAAAAAGTCGCAGAAAATCTTAAATGGCCACAACACGTTTGGTCAACAATGTTACAAAGTGTACTGGTTGGCAAAGCAGCTGAGGTATACTCTGCACTAGGGGTAGCTGAAAGTTCAGACTATGAGAAGGTCAAAGCAGCAATATTAAAAGCATATGAATTAGTACCTGAAGCGTATAGACAAAAGTTCAGAAAGTATAGAAAGTTTGATAATCAAACATTTGTTGAATTTTCACGAGAGAAAGAAGATTTATTCGATCACTGGTTTAGATCTAAGAAACTTGATAAAACTTTTGTTAATTTGCGCCAAGTCATCCTGGTAGAAGAGTTTAAGGAATGTGTTACTCAAGATTTGAAAACACATCTAGAAGATAAGAATGTGAAAACTCTTGAAGAGGCAGCAGTCATATCTGATACTTATGCTCTGTCTCATAAAAAGAATTTTGTATCAAGATCTCAGACTAGCAGTAATTCTACAAATTCAGACACATATAAAAAGAGTGGTTCAGGGTCTCAGTCTTTCACAAGTTCCCAGTCTCCATCCCAAGGTGGTTCTAAGTCCGGTCCAGGACGTTTTGAAGGATCTTCTGGAAATAGGGTCGCTTCCTACTTGTAGTTATTGTAAGAAAAAGGGTCATCTGATCAGTGAATGCTTTAAACTTAAGAGAAAAAATGATTTTGATAAAACTCAACCACATGCTTGTGCGGCAGTTAGAGGTGATAGAGAAGCCTTAGTTTCGATTTGTTCTGACACTCCTGATGTCCAGGGTTCACAGTCCAGTTCTATTGATTCTATGGAGGATTATAAGCCCTTTATGTCTCAGGGATTTGTTTCACTCGGTGACTCTAGCGAAATAAAACCTGTCCAGATTTTGAGAGATACTGGTGCTGCACAGACGTTATTGTTAGAGGGCGTGCTTCCTTTGTCTGAGCAGACTTCTACTGGTGGGTCAGTTTTATTACAGGGTGTGGAGCTAGGCGTCATTGATGTTCCCCTGCATAGAATTAGTTTGAAGTCAGATTTAGTTACTGGACCTGTTATCGTAGGTGTTCGACCTACTCTTCCTGTTCCAGGCATTTCTTTGTTGCTAGGCAACGATTTAGCTGGTGGAAAAGTTGTACCAGATCCTATAGTTTGTGAGAAAATCACTCCAGATGTCATGTGCGATGATGAAGATGATGACATTTATCCAGCCTGTGCTGTTACTAGAGCGATGGCCAGAAGACGAGAAATGGAGGCAGACCATACTCAAGCCTTTGACGAGACGAATTCCTCTGTTGATATTGATTTGAATGACACTTTCTTATCTGACCTTGATGGCACTCAAACAAGCATGGAACCACACAATATCAAGAAGCAAGAGAAGAAAGAACTGTTACCAAAATTTGGTGGTGAGGATGATGAGTTGCATCCACTAGTTAGCCAAGGCAAGGACATCCTCAGCCGAGAACGTTTACTCTCTGAACAACATAAAGACCCAGATATCATTCAACTTAGTAAGAGGGCACTTCCACCAGAAGAGGCTACTAAAGTTGGAGAATGCTTCTATATGAAAGATGGCATCCTTATGCGAAAATGGCGACCACCTGACGCTCCCCCAGATGAAGTGTGGCGTGTTGTTCACCAGATAGTGGTCCCAGCTGCTTATCGTCGAGATGTCATGAGTTTAGCTCACGATACACCTATGGCTGGTCATTTAGGTATCAATAAGACTTATAATAGGATTTTGAGTCATTTTTATTGGCCTAAGCTAAGGAAGGATGTTTCTGAGTTTTGTAAGTCGTGTCATGTCTGTCAGATGGTAGGTAAACCGAATCAGAAGATACCATCCGCCCCTCTCCAACCAATTCCAGCTTTTGAAGAACCGTTTAGTCGAGTGTTGGTGGATTGTGTAGGACCTTTGCCTAGGACCAGATCTGGGAACCAGTATTTACTTACCATTATGTGTACATCCACTCGA